CATCCTAGGCCTACAGGTTCAAACACCCGCGATAATCGTGCGGTTTCTGTGTTTCCCCTGTGCAGCCGAGACCTAAACATTTTCATACCAACCGGCGGATGATGTATAGCTAAAGCGGGGTCTCCAGCGCGTGTTTTGCCCTACACAATCAACAAAAACATGTCAACATTCAACAAAATTATCGACACAAAACATTGTTTCACTACTTACGTGTTTTCCATCGGGCATGGAAAGCAAAAACATTGTTGATATAAACAAAAATTTGTAGTGAAACAATGTTTCTTGTAGACAATTTTGTTGAAAGTTGACATGTTTTTGTTGATTGTGTAGAGAAAAACACACACTGGCGACCCGGCTCTAGGCCTAAAAGTGTTTATTGGTCCCCTGTACCTGTGTACCCAAAGCTTAATCCTGTCCTTTTGTCTCTTCAGCCAGCGCATGGCAACAACGCGATTCTCTACACAACGCTAGGAGGTCGCGGGAAGGCGGCCGCATTGACGATGCACTTCGACGCCGCGCTGCCACTCGAAGCAGACGAGACCGTCAGCCTGCGTCAACCGCCCACGCTGACAACCGGCCTGCTGCCTATACACAAGTGAGGACACTATTGATACCAGCTCGCTCATGGTTACAACGCGATTCTCTACACTACGCTAGGAGGTCGTGGAAAAGCGGCCGCATTGACAGCTGGCCTGCTGCCTATACACAAGTGAGGACACTATTGATACAAACCCGCTGACAGCAACGCAATTCTCTACACGACACTGGTGGGTACTCTTCTGATCAGAAGAGCGACCCTCCAAGAATGGGCCCGGGCGAACACCCCGCCAGCCCTCGCCTGTGGGGGTTTTTAAAAATGTCCTCCTGCATCGCAGCCCAGAAAAATCTCTCGACAGCCCTCGGCCCACTCAATCGTGGGTTGCCCGTCAGGCCCGCAGAGTTGATGAAAACGGCCTATTATTACTTCACCATCAATCCATAATTTTTAAGTGGCCCCTATGAAAACAATATTCCTGGTATGTGTTACCATAGGGGTCACTTAAAAATTAGGGATTGATGGTGAAAACGGGCATAACTTACCGTCATGTCTTGCATCTTCGTCAGTTTCGAGACAAGCCCTGGCGCGGTCTTGATTTATGCTGAGCCTTTTTGTCAGGGCACAAGCAGCTATCTGTCCACTTGTGTATCTCTTTCTTTATGTACCTGTCTCGGCTGCTTGTACACCTTTCTTTGAAATGAAAACTGTTCTATTCTATTCATGTGATACCCCGCAGAGTGCGTCGCATGCTTCCGTGCGCGTTCACGCCGCACCCGCACCAATTACCGCGCGCGCCGCGACGACCGCCCGCGCGCGCGCGCCCGCCGCCGCATGCCATCAAGGTACGCTTGTTGCTTGACTACCCTCACCCCTAGCATACTAATGTCATCGATAGGACAGTCCTTCTAGCCTATAAGGGCCTCACCCTTATAGTTCCAAAATACTGGACTGTCCTATCGATGACATTGACAGTGGGGCTCCACCGTCAATACCGGATCGCTGGTTCCGATTTTTGCCATGTTGGAAACCATATAGTTGAACGATGGTAGCGCCCCCCTGTCATTGAGTTTGGTGGGACAGTTCAGCGTGGGTCATCTATACCTCCTTATTACAAAAAGATAGACTCTGGTTGATCTCTGGTTTAAATTGACATTTAGTATGGAAATGACATTAAAATTTGAAACCAGTGTTAATCCTGGGCTTATAGATGAACTACACTGAAATGTCCCACCGACGACATTGACAGCAGGGCGCCACCATCTTCTTGCAACTATATGGTTTCCACCGTGGCAAAAGTCGGAACTAGCGATCCGCTATTGACGGTGGCCCCCCTGTCAGTGTCAAATAAAGGACAGTTCAGTGTAGTTCATCTATAGCTTTTTTGTAATATGGCCCTTAGAGACTGCGCTTCGAAAGGAGTGCGGACTTATGAATCGGTATCCGTCAAGATTCAATATTATTCATGACCTTTATGCCATGTTTTAAGAGTATCATGCGCATCACTAAAGCGATATTAATTTATATTTCTCTATTCTTCTATAACATAATCTGTGACCGATACCGATTCATCACAAAGCCTAAGCGCAAACCACCGACTTTTATTTGACCGATAGTTGGGTTAGGCTGTTAATCAGTATGGGCATGTATTGTTCATAAGTGCGCACATTCATACTAATTAGAATCGGGCCCAACTATCGGCTAAGTAAAAATCGGCAGTCTGCGGAGAATCGAAACAGCTACAACTATTGTTTTGATCATTTAAAATATTAATGAAAGAAGGATCTGGAAATCAGAACTTCATTGCCAACTATGAATTTTATAGCTATTTGCATAACCAGATGCTTTCATGAAGATGATAAAATTTTCCAAATATGTTTCATTCCCTTTTTTCATCGTCTTCTGTATTTGTATGAAAATAATTATGTACATATGTCAATCCAAATGCTCATTTGAAGTGGTTCCCCCATCGGCCTGCAAAACGGCTCAAGTTTTTTCAAGTCCACAGGAACATCGGTTGAACACCAGAATGTTGCTGTGCCATTATTTTAAGTAGTGAGTGAGTACTTATCGTAAAAAGAAAAAAAATGTCGTACTAGTTCGCATTCTCCTTATAGGAGTTTGTCGAATCCTCTGTGCATAAAAAACAAACATCAAAAATGCACAATGAAAGTGAAAATAAAATAAGTAAGTACGAATCATGTATTTAAGATTTCAATCATACCATGTTTCATACGGTCAGTCCAGAAATGGTTTGTCAAAATGTCAAACGATTTGGGCTAGCCTACAAACGTGTAACATATTTTATTATTAATATTCATTAAGTTCCAAGTATCTGAATGCCGAAAAACCGTAGTGGATTGATTTACCTTCCTTCTTACACCACACCACAGAAATCTTGAGACTTTCTTCAAAATACCTTCAAAGTAAACATTTCTTGACTGACCGTAGTTTCATGTCCAACAAAGATCAGAAGACTGGGATGGAGGTGGAAGGTTACAGCTATTTCCAATGTATTCACATGTGTTTTACCTCTGTGCATTGTCTTTAGCCGGGCGAGACGGCGGCCGGAGTCCGAAAGGTATCGACGCTGCGTGTAAACCGCGCTTGTAGATAGTACACACAGACGGCGGCTGGTATTGGTATCGTTTATACGCACAGACAACTCGCTTGTTATATCCCTACTCAGATCGTTATCAAGTGGGCACAAAAGGTGTTTGGACAACGACTGGCCTTAAGTCAATTTACACCACTTTTTTGGTATAAAAGCAACATTGAAACTATTACAACGTTAAGAATAAAGAGTTTACTTTTACGATTTTTCTTTACTTTACTTAACATTTAAATTTCTCCAATAACAAAAATCCAAAAGACGCGGGTCACTTAGTTTCTGTTTTTATTCAAAGTAACTTGATATATCCGAAGGCCTACCCTCATTTATGTCAATCTCATCTATCACCTTACTGTTTTAACCGAATTCTACGTCAAGATAATCCTCTACCTACCTGCAATCCACTTGGACTGACTCTTAAATCATTGACTCCTTCGCCTATTTAGACTGAGGTGTAATGATCGGCTTGCTTCTGTTTAGATCAAAACTTTCCTCATCAGACAATGAAACTCCCAACCAAAACCAAACCCTTGTGCATTGCATGGTATCGCATTGTGCGTGACACGGCATGCTACATTGTGTTATCATCACAGAAAGTTATTTTCAGTCAAACTGCGCATGACGTCGATACGATACTTAATTAATCTTAGCTTATGTTGAGCCTGAACTCTTGATGCGTGACTTATGTCCACTCTGTGGTATTACGATTTGTTATCGTGTCAAGTACAGTGTGACCCTCATCACAACCTCCTCCTAAATCTAAATTGTATAAATAAGCCTACATCCTACATCTGAGTTTTAAAAACAGCGGTTGTCTGTCAAATATTTATCTGTATGTAAGAATGTTTTGTCACCGGAATGCATCAACCGACAAGGCACAATGGGAAAAAGGTAACAACGGATATGGATTTAAACCGATGACGCAAGTGCTGCTAATTTTATAGAAAAAAATTGTGATTATGGCGATTACCACTTTGGAACTTGAGATTTCCACCAAAATGACAATGTTCCATTTTATGCGCTTGCGTCGTCTCGTTAACGATACATGTCTGTGGGTTGAAAATGTAGAGTTGTATTGAAACATTATAGCCAAATTTTTTTGTATTTAACATTATCTACTCAAACGGATTTCAGACAACTCTATTTTTTTTTTCTGTTCCGAATTGCCCACAGCATCTTACGACACAACATTTTCCAAATTCTAAACATAATTAAGTAAACGACAAAAATTTTACATTCATAATACCTTTTGGTTACTTTTTATTCATTTCTAACCAACTTCTATTGATGCTGTGCGAAACTATATGCGAATTGAACGGAAACCAGAGTTTTATACGATAAAATGTTTTATTATTATGGTATAATCAAAACTAGTTGATTGTGTCCATACTCATTAGTACTTGGCAATGAGTATTCTTGCTGTACCAAATCAATTTACCGTACTTCTTAGACTCATGAAGCTTTTATGCTTAAATGTTGAAAAAGTGACGTAACTAGTAGTAATTTTCGAAATTATCCCATAACTTTGTAAAAAAGACATACCTGTCATAGACAAAAGACGACTGCCTGGCCTGAAGATTCTGGGTATAATAAAGCACACACGTTGTATGCGGCGTGAAATTATTAAGATTTGACTGTCCATGTAATGTGTTACGTTTCGCGAACTACCAAGCCAGGCGGTCGTCACAACTTTAAGGGTTCACTATTTAAGTAAGTATCCGACCACAATCATTCTGGTGGCTTGAATGCCGTTTTACAGTTATTGCGGTGTCGTGATAGCCTCAGAACGCTATTGATTATGATCGGATAGCATTTATTCATTAAGACTCTATGTTACCTCTTGCTTTGTTACAGTGGCCCAAAAAGAAGGGGAAGAAGAAGAAATGAAGATAAAACTGAAATAGAACTACACTTAACTTATACTGTCATGTAACATACCAACTACTTAAAACTATTTATTATCTGAGTATTGGTTTGACTATACTTATGAATACATTATTAGAAATAATATAAAATTTGTATTCACAGTTGACCGAATCCGATATCACTTTTTGTTAAACAAAGAAAAGAATAAACACAAAACCTATTAAACGCCGACAGAGTACTTTTGAACCTACCCTGTATTACAAAAGTTAATAATATGATTGTACTCAAAGTACAACATAAAAGTATAAAGAACATTTTCGAAATATACACCTTTTTCTAAAAGAGGGAACTGTGAGAACACGTCTTAGTAGAACGTATAGCGCTGTGAAAGTAAATTTATTCATAATGAACGCAGAAACTGCAGTAATGTTAATATTATAATAATTGTATGTGTAACTTTTCAATGAAAATAAAATGTGTGATCACTAGTGCAGTCTTTTATTTATACATTACATGTACATAAACTTTATTATAATATTTACAAGAGTGCGTTAGATATATTTTTAAAATAATGTAATGAGTAAATAAATATTTAATATTAAAACTAGTCATAAAAATAAATTAAATATTCATAAATATATCTATAATGTTGTGAAAGAGCATCCTATAAGCTAGTATAGTATTTCAATAATATACTTGTCCCTGTTCCAAAACCAAACTAGTACTGCAGTGTGTGAAAACTAATTAGTTTCGTGATTAAAGTACAGTCGATAGCACCCAATATTATACATTTCTGCAAAATACACTGGTCATCACAAAAATCGGCCCACCTACGTTTTACAGGAAAACTTGTTTCTACTGACACAATCATGGTGCCCCAACAATATTAGTGTTATTTGAAAGCCCAATAAATATCCTTAAAGAGAAACACATTCAATTTCCTAATAAACTATTAACATATACAATAAATGTGACTTGAAAAACTTGAAAAAAAACCTCATTTGGGCTCACCTCTGGGATCAATTAGACCAATTTTTATGGTTATAAAACCAAATAATGATCTCACGTGTCCTCTTTAACAGATGGATAGCGATTAATCCCAACTTAACAGTTTTATAGCCATAAAAGTTGGTTCAAGCGTAACTACCTATTTTTTTAAGAAGTGACTGGATTCTTCTACAGACACATTTTTGGGGTAAAAACCTTTCCTTAATTGAAATGAAGTTTAGAACTAGGCTTTTAAATGGTAATATAGTATAGTAATATTGGTGGGAAGTGGGGATGCATACGTTTGAAAGTGCTTGTCGCCGGTGGGTCGATTTTTATGATGACCAGTGTAGTACCTATTGATACCAGTGGTTAGCTTGATGAGCTCACGTCTATACACAATATTTGTGTAAGCACAATGACTATAGCATTCATTTGCTGTACTTAGTTAGGGGAACACTTATTTCAGCACTCAATAACTGAGCACGAGAAAATTTCCTACAAAAAATCCCTAAAAACTTTGTCAAACCCTGCAGTCTGGTTTTGCAATCGCCAACTATGATGCGAGAGTAAATAAGTAGTGTATACTAACTGTCACACATTGTTCGGCGCGGGCGCACACTACAGCGACGAGTAGTAGTAAACCAACTACTAAGCGGCCTCGTCGAAGTAGCCGTCCAACTGCGTCGCGATCTGGAATGTTCCATGGCATTTTGGTAGGAAAGTGAAACAAAATCTATATTTAAAACAATTTTAGAGACAAATTATGGCTCCATTATTTTTTATACGAATACGAAACAAGCGTTTGTGAAGTGACTGAACTTGTTCCCAAATGTCCTCGGCCTGGGGGCAAATGGGAATCCATTTACAAAAATATCCTAACCTTTCCCGCTTGTTTAGCAGGTTCGTTCGTTCGTTCGTTCGTTTCAGCCGAAAGACGTCCACTGCTGGACAAAGGCAGCAGGTATTGGAAAACTACTATAGGTGACCTACACCGAACTGTCCCACCAAACTCATTGACAGGGGGGCGCCACCATCGTTCAACTATTATAGTTTCCAACATGTCAAAAATCAGAACCAGCGATTTGGTATTGACTGTGGCGTCCCCCTGTCAATGTCACGAGTGGGACAGTTCAGTGTATTGGATCTATACATAAATCTCCAAATCATAATAGCTGCGTTTATCTGAACACGATAAAGTCAAATCACAAAGTAACGTATTTTTATAAATAATCTCAGTTGACTCCAGTGCGGACACCCACTAGGGGGACAACTGGGAACAACCGATTTATTCCACAACCAAAATATACTGATCNGCCCAAGGTCATTGAGGACTCTAATCGCCTTAACTTATACATTGTCATGTAACATACCAACTACTTAAAACCATTTAGTAACTGAGTATTGGTTTGACTATACTTATGAATACATTATTAGAAATAATATAAAATCTGTATTCACAGCTGACCGAATCCAATATCACTTTTTGTTAAACAAACGGAAGAATAAACACAAACCTATTAAACGCCAACAGAGTACTTTTCAACCTACCCTGTATTACTTAAGTTAATATTATGGCATTACTCAAAGTACAACATAAATGTATAAAAATCATTTTCGAAATATACACCTTTTTCTAAAAGAGGGAACTGTAAGAACGCGTCTTAGAACGTATAGCGCTGTGAAAGTAAATTTATTCAGAATGAACGCAGAAACTGCAGTAATGTTATGTTAATATAATAATAGTATGTGTAACTTTTCAATGAAAATAAAATATGTGATCACTAGTGTGCAGTCTTTTATTTATACATTACATGTACATAAATTTTATTATAATATTTACAAGAGTGCCTTAGATATATTTTTTAAATAATATAATGAGTAAATAATTTAAGTGTAATATTTAATATTAAAACTAGTCTTAAAAATAAATTAAATATTCATAAATATATCTATACTGTTGTGAAAGAGCTTTCTATAAGCTATAGTATAATTTTATTATACTTGTCCTTAGTCCAAAACCAAAATAGTAGGTACTGCAGTGTGTGAAAACTAATTAGATTTGTGATTTTATATTATTTGTAACAACACTATAATTTCTGCAAAATAGTACCTATTGATACCAGTGGTTAGCTTGATGATCTGTCGTCTGAACATAATAATTGTGTAAGCACAATGACTATAGCATTCATTTGCTCTAGGGGATGGTACTTAGGGGAACACTATTTCAGCACTCAATAACTGAGCACGAGAAAATTTCCTACAAAAAATCCCTAAAAACTTTGTCAAACCCTGCAGTCTGGTTTTGCAATCGCCAACTATGATGCGAGAGTAAATAAGTAGTGTATACTAACTGTCACACATTGTTCGGCGCGGGCGCACACTACAGCGACGAGTAGTAGTAAACCAACTACTAAGCGGCCTCGTCGAAGTAGCCGTCCAACTGCGTCGCGATCTGGAACGTTCGATGGCAAAGTTATACAAAATCTACATAAATTAAATACTTGAGACAACGCGCGCCTGTGTAGTGACCTAACTTGTTCCAAAATCTGGGGGCAAATGGGAAATCATTTGCAAAAATTGCCTTTTTAAGGGGTGGAGGTAGGTATTGGAAAACGGCTATAAATCGCTGCAAATTTAATTATATCTGCGTCTTACTGAACACGATAAATTCAAACACAAAGTAACGGATTTTCTTGTTTATAAATAAAAAAAATTGCTGGATGCAGGCCGCCACTAACCGGTCATTGTGGAAATCATTGGGGGAGGTCTATGTGTAGCTATGGCTAAAAATGATGATAATGAAATAAAAAATAGTCTCAGTTGACCCCAGTGCGGACACCTACTAGGGGGGCAACTGGGAATAAACGATGCATTACAGATTAAATTGTTGATGCTCAGAATGCCAACTTCTCAAAATGCCAACCGCTCGCAAAAATACCACTTCGCAGAATGCCAACTTCTCGAAATGACAACTTACAATTTATAATGAATGCATCAATCTCTCATCTCAAATGTTGCTTGAATGACATACACCTCTTCTAACGCTCTTCTAAATAATATGTAAATAAATTCTGCATACAAAATATACTGACCTGCACGGGCGTGTACTTGACATATTTATCCGGGTTCTTGCTGAAGGGCAGCGCGGCGCAGGCGTCGTAGAAGGCGGTGTAGGGCGGCAGCAGCGTCTGCTTGTTGTCGCGCTTCAGAGCCTCGCGTAGCTCCGCGTCCGGCACGCTGTAGCCACGCTGCGCTCGCGTGCTCTCCTCCCACTCGCGATTGAACGACTAAGAGAGAAAGAGAAAAACTCATTTTATTTTTGCTTTTAAAAAGCACTTTTACACGTCTCAGTAACCCTACCACTGCTTCCAGAAATTATGATGAGCGAAATATTTTTTTTTGTAAAGCTGCTTAATTTCGCTAATTCCCAATTGTCCCCACTGGGGGCAACTGGGAATTTATTTCCAAACATGTTCTAAAAGTATCAAACGGATTTTCATGACTTTTCTATCTTAATTTGTTCCTCAATTAGCTACAAGCGCCGAACACAAAAATAAACACGATTTAAAAGTAAACTCACAGCAAACTTGTCCTTCAGCATCTGGCGGTCCTTGTCCCGCAGCTTGGCCGGCAGCTGCTCCTCTAACACGGTGTGAGCTAACAGCTTGTTCCAGCTGAAAAAAAGTCGCAGTACATTACTTTGACTGATAAAAACTCACAGTTAAGACCATATTCTGAGTTTGTTAAGTGGTTCTTACCTCTGTAGGTAGGCGTTCTTGTGGTCGTTGATCATGTCGCGGTAGCTTGCCTCGCACTCGGGCTCTGCCAGCGACACTACGTCCAATAACCCGCTTCGCTGCAGCCCCTGTCGTGGAAGTCTTAAGTTAATAATCTTCAATACATACTTCATACATGTGATACAAGAGGACGTCTAAACCAGTGGGGGTCAACGCCAAGGAAAAGTCAAAGTCAAAATTTCTTTATTTGTTTAGACTAATAAATAGTTCTTAAAAATCGTCATTTTGCTCTTAAGGAGCCATCGCTTCACTCGACCATATTAGAGGGAATGTAACGACCCGCCTCACTATGCCACCACCCCAGAGACATTTTAGTGAGAATGATAATTCCAAGTTATCTCTTTAAAAAACTAATAATAAAGCTAAGTAACAGTCCAGATTGAGAAGCATGACACTATAACATTTGAGAAAATTAGTTTATACATTACTTTTCATAGCACGAATTTAAATACTTTTTAGTACGAGCATTCTCATGGTCCTCTCGGACCATAATTCTACTCCCAGGATGACTTATCATTAAGGAAATAACGAGTTGTATAATAAGCTTTTTTAAGCATGTGATCTTTAACTATACCTTTAAATTTATTATATGGTAGCTCTTTATATTTATCAGGGACTTTGTTATAAAAATGGATACCTTGTCCTATAAATTTTTCCTTTGGCCCCATTATTCCCATTATTTAGAAGGAAAAAGTTGATTTTATTACCTGCAGCAGATACAGAGTGTTGTTGAGCAGGAAAATTGCTTTAAGCGCGTCGGGGTACTGCTCACTCTTATTACGCAGCGTAAAGTTCAACTGCGCTAATACTTTGCCTGGGTACAAATAAAATTTGTTGTTATGTGCTGCTAGTGCTGAAAGTGCTGCGTTCTATAGCGTCAAGTATATGTTGTACCGTGACGGTAGCGCTCGGTTTGACAGTGTACACGGTACAACACATTTCAGCGCTAGCAAATCTATACGTCTATACTAATATTATAAATGCGAAAGTCTGTCTGTCTGTCTCGCTTTCACGCCTAAACCACTGAAGCGATTTTGATGAAATTTGGCATAGAGATAGTTTGAGTCCTGGGAAAGGACATAGGATAGTTTTTATCCCGGTTTTTGAAACGGACGGGCGCGATAACGTTTTTCTGTGACAGATAAAATTCCACGCGGGCGAAGCCTCGGGCGGAAAGCTGGTACATAATACTTAGGATAGAAAATAATGCTTACGCATGTATATGGCGAGCAACGCAGCATTTCGGTCGTGGCTTCCAGGCAACTGCGACGCCGCGCGCGCGTAAGCCGCGTCCGTGGCCAACGCTGGGCCTGGAGATAAAAAACCACTTTTACAATTATCTTGTCATAGATCTACAGGGTGTTAGGTAATTGGGTATATGAGCCGACACTAGCCCATGTTAACATGGGCATATAAATGGTATGGTGAAGTCAGAAAATTGATGCTAGTGTCGGCTCATATACCCATTTACCTAACATCCTGTATAATGAAAATTGATGGTTATTCTTAAAAAACACTAGGCAGTACTGTACAATACTGGATAGCGCCAGCACAATAGTAAACCACAAAAGCAGTTCTCATTTTGTAATAGAAGACAACACATGATATCCCCCAACTTCTCCTGGAGGTCTTCCAGTTTAACTTTCCCCCGGGACAAACTTGACCTTCGTTGGTTGGGTTTTTGTGGCGGTCAAGCTGTAGATCCTGGCTACACAGGAGTTGCAGTGATGGGAACGAGAGGTGGGAATAGTCCCGTTTTGGAGGTCTCCTCTCCTGCAGACCCCCTTCTTTTCTGAAGCATCTCTCCTGCAGATCCTTCACCACTCCTGCAGCCCCCACCTCTCTTGTAAAGTCTGGTCCGGGAGCACGTAGAATTTTGTCCAATGACCCCAAGCTACCCATCCTTATCGCTCGCGCGTAATTATATTGCTGTCACGCTCGCACACACACTGCGGGCGCCCGTCGCACAGTCGCGACTTTAGACCCCCTAAATCCTACAGCCTTTCCAGCCCACTTTCACAGGTGTTCCACCTCTCCTGCAAGCCGTCACTCACCGATGGTGTGCAGATACTGTGCAAGCTGGTGGCAGTGCGCCAGCGTAGCGGCGGCCAGCTGGTGCACGGTGCCGTCCACCGCTCCTGCTGCACTGTCATTGCGGACGCCTTCCACCCATTCCTCCAGGGATTTTAGGCACTGGAAACGAAAAGCTTTGTCATTTATCATTCACTATATTGCTACCTCCAGATCGCCTGAGCACGACTTGTGACACGTCACGAGACAAGGCACGCTTGGACTTCCTAACCAAACAGCGCATGAGAAGCTCAGAGCAGAGCTCTAGATATGACTCCCAGTCGAGCGGTGCTCGGTCGAGATACGTGTGCTCAAGGCAGCCCGAGCTATTTACACAATTTATCTTATCACTTTAACATCTAACATCTAAACCTACCACTACTACTTTGGGAATCAAATTAAATAATGTTCAAAAGGTTCAGGAGTGCGCTATGCATGACTTGAGAAAGATCACGAACATAATTTGAATGCACTTCGAGCTGTAGTCGCTACAGTTTTCCTGATTGGCATCCAAAAGATGAAGCTGCTAGCAGCAGATACAGCCTATCTATGGTCAGTTGCTGTGGCCCAGCAGCGCCCAGCACGCCGCGTGTCCGCCTGGCAGCCCTCAGCTGTCTAAAGCCTGGTCCGTGAGCACGTAGAATCCCGTCCAATGACCCCAAGCTACCCATCCTTATCGCTCGCGCATAATTATATTGCTGTCGCGCGAGCGATAAGGATGGGTAGCTTGGGGTCATTGGACGGGATTCTACGTGCTCACGGACCAGGCTTTAGTGTCCACTCACGTGCAGCCCGGCAGCTGTCTAGTGTCCACTCACGTGCAGCCCGGCAGCTGTCTAGTGTCCACTCACGTGCAGCCCGGCAGCTGTCTAGTGTCCACTCACGTGCAGCCCGGCAGCTGTCTAGTGTCCACTCACGTGCAGCTGGCAGGTGTCTAGTGTCCACTCACGTGCAGCTGGCAGGTGTTGACGGTGGCGGTGTAGGCGGCGGGCGGCGCGGGCGCGAGCGCGCGCTCCACGTCGGGCTGCAGGCGCTGCAGGCGGCCCAGCAGCGCCCAGCACGCCGCCGCGCCCGCGCCGCATTTGCTGGCTGAACGACGGCTGCGGCTGCACGCGCGCTGAGGATAAACAAAAGAAATTTCAATTGGCAGTTGACAATATCATAAACGACTGAGAGGATTTAGATAGTCACTAGTCTATATTGAATCACTAGATGAAGCGATGTGGAGGCAGCTGCAGCGGCTGTATGTACACTATGTTCCTAATCTAGGCAACTAGCAACAAGTATAGAAATACTGAATCACTCACTGAGATATTACGTCACTGGTTATGAGGTAGCGTAGGTAGTGCTAGTAGACATCGAGTCACTAGTCTAGGAAGTCGTGAAGGCATTGGCTATAGACCAAAATGGGGCATAGGAGCAGAAGACTAAGTCAGCTTAGAAAGTGGCTTGGAGGTAGTGGCTGCAAACCGCGTCACAATTCCTTAAAAGAGCGTGATACAACAACTGTATAACAAGCCATTAGCCTAGGAAAGATGTGTGTGTACCTCGACGTCGGCCGCGAGGATGGCGAAGCAGTCCTTGAGCACGTGCGCGAGCAGCGCGGGCAGGCGCGGCAGCGGCACCAGCCCCAGGTCTGTGGGCACTAGCCTAGGGACTGTGTGTGTACCTCCTCAGTCTGTGGGCACTAGCCTAGGGACTGAGTACCTCGACGTCGGCCGCGAGGATGGCGAAGCAGTCCTTGAGCACGACTTCTTCGACCTTGTCCAGCGCCTCGTCGTTCTCCTCAATCTGTGGGCACTAGCCTAGGGACTGTGTGTGTACCTCCTCAGTCTGTGGGCACTGGGCTAGGGACTGTACCTCGACGTCGGCCGCGAGGATGGCGAAGCAGTCCTTGAGCACGTGCGCGAGCAGCGCGGGCAGGCGCGGCAGCGGCACCAGCCCCAGCAGCGCGCGCTGCTCGAGGCGCGCCAGCCGGCACACGCCCGCGGCCAGCGCGCCCGCGCTCTCCGCCTCGAACTCGTCCAAAGCCTCGTTGCTCTCCTCCGAGTCTGTGAGCACATGTGGTACCGTTTAGGCTTCGTTATCAGTCTTGCCGGACCCACAGAATTGCTGGAAACCGGCACCCGGACTAGGTAACATTAAATCGGAACCCGCAAGAAAACCTGAGACTCAAATCACCTTAAGTCATAGTATGCCAAGTCAAGTGCCGCGAAACGTCTCAGGAGGTGCGAACGCGAGAGCGGTAGATAGGGATATTGTCTAGAGCTAGTTCACATTACTCCAGTAGGAGCGTTTTGCCGAGACGATAAAGTGACAGACGCTACGCTATGCCAATAATTGTCCGGCAAATGTAAATATAAATTGTTTACCGACCTGGCAAATCTGCCGGTCAGTAGAGTAAGAACGAAACCTTACGATGAACGGCTTAAGAAGTCCAACCGCTGTTATTTATAATATGGATGAAAGGAGAAAAATACCCTTAAGTAAATATAATATCAGTGCTTACATGATTCGACGATTGATCGACGTGGTCCAAGTGCCAATCCTGTGGACTGTTCCAAAGTCTGGGAAGCCTTCATCATTATCTTGTTTGCTCGCTTCTCCAAGCTATAAGCAAAAATAATACACAATTTACCAGAGAAATTAAATAGAATAAGCTACTAAATAATTTCACTTACACTTTTTGAATTTTACTTGTTTTCTTCGTTGTGCTGTCTGACCGATGTAGCATGTTCTTGGCTCTCTGGAAATACAATAATAATGAATTTGAGCATAACTTATTACAAATAGATAATTATGACATTTCTGTTTCGAAGACATCAGTGGCGAAGCTACCATTGACTTCAACCTCAAGGCTACTTACCATCAGCGGCGAGGGGGCCATAGACCTCGACCTCAAGTAATCCCTGAAGGCCACCAGCGAGCTCTTAGCAGCAGGTGCTCGGATAGCCAGCAGGGGGCCAGCGGCGCTTATGCTCCCTAGCGCATTTGTACTTCAGAACTGTTTCTATGAAAATCCCAATGTTCTACAAGTAAGCCACTTACCATCAGCGGCGACGCGGCCATAGACCTCGACCTCAAGTAATCCTTGAAGGCCACCAGCGAGCTCTTAGCAGCTGGTGCTCGGATAGCCAGCAGGGGGCCGGCGGCGGCGCGCATGTTCTAACACACCTATACTGCACAAGCTTGTGACCATGACAAACCCACCCAATGTTCTACAAGTAAGCAACTTACCATCAGCGGCGAGGCGGCCATAGACCTCGACCTCGATCCATTAAGGCTACCAGCAAGCTCTTAACCGCGGTTGCTCGAATAGCAGCAGGGGGCCAGCGGCGCTTATGCTCCCTAGCGCATTTGTACTTCAGAACTGTTTCTATGAAAATCCCAATGTTCTGCAAGTAAGCCATTTACCATCAGCGGCGACGCGGCCATAGACCTCGACCTCAAGTAATCCTTGAAGGCCACCAGCGANCACGCCCGCGGCCAGCGCGCCCGCGCTCTCCGCCTCGAACTCGTCTAGAGCCTCGTTGCTCTCCTCCGAGTCTGTGAGCATAATATGTGGAACGTGGAACCGTTTAGCCTAGGCGCAGATGTCGTAGTTACAAGATGGGTGGGTGAAACCGTGGACAAACTGGGCATAGGTGGAAATCGGTTCAAGGCCTCACTACACCGGTACTTGCTCTATCTTGCTCAGAGAGATGGACATTCGTGGTTATTTTAGGCGGTTATCACACTGCGCCGCGCTCCGCCGCGGAGCGCAGGTCGACAGATTTAAACATTGTATGCAAGTACCTCAGTTTGTATAGAAAACACGCGCGGCACTTCACACTGACAACGCGTCCGCGCGCGTGATTTTTAATGTGAAAATCACGCGCTCCGAGCGATCGATCGATCCTGGCTTCTTCGGCTTGTTAGGCCGGTGCGGGTCTCGAGCTTCACGCTCATTACCCGGGCTTCTTCTCGGGCAGATTCTTCCGTCCGGTGGCTGTGTTCGCCTCATTGCGAGGCGTTAGTCTCCACCCTAGCGCCCTGCTCCGAGCGGAGCGCGGCGCAGTGTGATAACCGAATTAGTGGGTAAACCCCGCCAGACGCTGTGGTCACGACGATATGCATTTTTATGCATTTTTTCCACGTAAAATAAAAGGTGAAGACCACCAACTTTTAGTTGAAGTATGAAGAATCGACCGATAACAAATCGGTGAAGTGTGCGCACTTTCATGCATCTCCATACCGATTAACTGCCTGACTAAACTATCGGCCGACATAAATCGGGGGTCTGCTCCTAAGCTTAGGCTTCGTTCACTATTGCCGGCCCCGAGGAATTGGCAGAAACAGGCATCTGGACGAGGTAACATTGAATTGTTTCCCGCAAGAAAACAGGAGATTCCAAGTCATCTCAGTCGCCGAAAGGACTTGCGAGGTGCGGGTGCAGTAAACGTGAGCAGAAACAACGACGCGAGCTTGCTAAAATTAATCCAATTCGAGTCCTGGCCAGGGTAATTCAGTGTCAAACTCATACAGGGTGAAGGCAACGATAAGTGATCTCACTCGACTATTTCTAAACTATACAAGATATCGAAAATCTGATAACTGATTTCGAAAGCGCTTCACAAGCGCTTTCGTTTGGATATATCGGAAAACTCAATGTTTTAGAAGAAAATAATTGGTGGAGTAAAGTAAGTAAATGATTAAATCAGTGCTCACATGATTCGACGATTGATCGTCGTGGTCCAAGTGCTAATCCTGTGGACTGTTCCAAAGTCTGGGAAGCCTTCATCATTATCTTGTTTGCTCGCTTCTCCAAGCTATAAGCAAAAATAATACAATTATAATTTAATAAAGACAGTCAAATAGAATAAACTGACTGAATTATTTCACTTACACTTTCTGAATTTTACTCGTTTTCTTCGTTGTGCTATCTGACCGATGTAGCATGTTCTTGGCTCTCTGGAAATAAAATTATGATGAGTGTAAGTGAGTAGTATCAAGCTTGGATATTTTTAATCGTTCTCAATGTTCATAATTATGTAGGCTACTTGCCATCAGCGGCGAGGTAATCATTATTGACTTCGGCTTGCAACTTTGCAAGTCACTTACCATCAGCGGCGAGGCGGCCATAGACCTCGACCTCAAGTAATCCTTGAAGGCCACCAGCGAGCTCTTAGCAGCTGGTGCTCGGATAGCCAGCAGGGGGCCGGCGGCGGCGCGCATGTTCTAACACACCTATACTGCACAAGCTTGTGACCATGACAAACCCACCCAATGTTCTACAAGTAAGCAACTTACCATCAGCGGCGAGGCGGCCATAGACCTCGACCTCGATCCATTAAGGCTACCAGCAAGCTCTTAACCGCGGTTGCTCGAATAGCAGCAGGGGGCCAGCGGCGCTTCTGCTCCCTAGCGCATTTGTACTTCAGAACTGTTTCTATGACAATCCCAATATTCTGCAAGCAAGCCACTTACCATCAGCGGCGAGGCAGCCATTGACCTCGACCGCAAGTAATCCTTGAAGGCTACCAGCGAGCTCTTGGCAGCAGGTGCTCGGATAGCCAGCAGGGGGCCGACGGCGGCGCGCATGTTCTAACACACCTATACTGCACGAGCTTGTAACCATGACAACCCCAATGTTCTGCAAGCAAGCCACTTACCATCAGCGGCGACGCGGCCATAGACCTCGACCTCAAGTAATCCTTGAAGGCCACCAGCGAGCTCTTAGCAGCAGGTGCTCGGATAGCCAGCAGGGGGCCGGCGGCAGCGCGCATGTTCTAACACACCTATACTGCACAAGCTTGTGACCATGACAAACCCACCCAATGTTCTACAAGTAAGCAACTTACCATCAGCGGCGAGGCGGCCATAGACCTCGACCTCAAGTAATCCTTAAAAGCTACCAGCGAGCTCTTGGCAGCAGGTGCTCGGATAGCCAGCAGGGAGCCGGCGGCGGCGCGCATGTTCTAACACACCTATACTGCACAAGCTTGTGACCATGACAAACCCACCCAATGTTCTACAAGTAAGCAACTTACCATCAGCGGCGAGGCAGCCATTGACCTCGACCGCAAGTAATCCTTGAAGGCTACCAGCGAGCTCTTGGCAGCAGGTGCTCGGATAGCCAGCAGGGGGCCGACGGCGGCGCGCATGTTCTAACACACCTATACTGCACAAGCTTGTAACCATGGCAAACCCAATGTTCTGCAAGTAAGCCACTTACCATCAGCGGCGACGCGGCCATAGACCTCGACCTCAAGTAATCCTTGAAGGCCACCAGCGAGCTCTTAGCAGCAGGTGCTCGGATAGCCAGCAAGGGACCGGCGGGCGGACGGCCGGCGGCGCTGAGCCAAGCGGCGGCGGCTCGCATGCTCTCTAGAGCGCCGCTACTGCCGGAGCCACTGCCACTGGCACTCACGCTTACGCTGTCCGCGCTGGAATCTATGGGGGTAGTTGAAAAAAGGAGATTTGAGAACAGAATTTTATTACGTACGGATCTTTTGGCTTTTTTATGATGATGATACACGCGAACGGAAGGCGAGCGTTCAGTAATAAGCGGAGACAGGTATGTACCACGCTAGATTACATTTTACTTAACATCAATTAGTTAATCATCAATTAGGTGTCATTGCAGTCAATTTTAATGCATAAAAAACTGGGTGATTTTTTTTTATAAATTCCCATTTGCCCCCATGGAGGTGATCCTGGTGGGGGCAAATGGGAAAAACACAAAATTAAATATAAAAATTTCATGTTTTGCAATTTATTATTCACTATTTTTTTAAACTTACCCTCTTCCAAAGCTATCATGTCCATTAAGGTGATGGGAGATAGTGGTCTTGTGTTGCGGCTCAACAACTCTTCAAAAGCATTTTCTAACTTTAGAACTCCAGTATTATAGAGTTGATTCTAAAATTGCAAAGCAGTTGGATTAACTTTCAGATTTTTATAAAAATAACTTCACGTTTGTTTTAAGCATAATTTGAAATATTGTACTTACTATATTCTCCAACTCGACACTTTGTGGATTATTTTTATTGAAGTATGCTTGGGCTTCTGCCAGTTTATCCAAAGCCTGGAAATAAACATAAACATAATAAAGAAACCCATCAAGAAAACAAGTTGCATTCTTGTTCTATTTGCCAGGCATTATAATAGTTGTAATACCTCAAGATAAATGTTCAATGAGTCCGTGTTAGTAGTGTGTGGTCCACCCTGGATGAGGTCTGCCAGCTCCCGAGACACCATGTAGTAGTTTATGACGTGGTCTAATGCCTTCACTGTACGCTCCATATCTAAGTAGAATAATAAATGCCAATTAAAACATATGTTAACAAATTGGATTGATTAGCTACGGAAAATGTAAAATAAGAGGAATTATTTTTTATTCAGTTCTAAGTAAAAAATTTTTTACATAGAATAGCATTGAAAACTGGCAGTGCCAAACGTACACACACTGTGTGAGAATAATAGTAAAAATCAGAATACCAAATTGAATCTCAGTAGGAAATAGGGTTGCCAACTTTTCTTTCAAAATATAAAGTATATTAGAGGTTGGAGAAGGAAAACAGACAGTATTAAAAAAAACAAACAGTATAGCTCTACAATGCATACTTAAATGTGGTGTTGGGCATTTACATTTAAAAATATCTATGGATACTAGTGATGCTAGCTGAAAACAGTATTTTGTATACTTTATTTTTGTTCAACAGTAAAAAGTATAATTTAGTGAAAAACAGTATAATACTGTTCAATAATGAAATCTAATTGGTTATCAAACACATCTCTCTGCATTGGCAGAAACTGAGCCACTTACTCTGCTGAATGTGTTGCAAGCGAGCTGTGTCCCCGTACAGCGGCAGCACAGCAGTCTCCAGCTGCTGCAAGCGCTGCTCGCACGCGCCCAGCACGTTGCACACATCGCTAGCCAGCGACGAGCTGCGGTTGGCCGCTGCCTTCAGCTCTTGGATGTTGCTCATTTCCTACAAATGTATGGATCAAGGTTTACAGGATTTGGCACATGTTTAATGTTGGCGGAATGTTAAAATACATATTTAGTTTCAGATACTAATACAGTGTTTCTGTAGAGGGACATAGTCTATTTAGTACAGTGTTTGTTTTTATATTCCATAAAGTAACTGTGAGCTTTTAAAAAGCCAAACTTCGTTGAACAAATTTTAAAGATTCGTATCGAAGTTGTGACAAAAAGTTAAAAAAGATGTACATAAAAACAGTGAAAAGAGAGTAAAAATTCATGCCTTACCTTTCTTAGCTTCATTTCTATTTCGAATTTCTTCTCTACCGCGTACATCTTGGAAGCGTATTAAGCTACTTTTATACACAATTTTTTTTAATTACTTTCAATATTCAGGTAGTTAAAAGCAGTTTATAATTTATTAATTAATTGCAAAAAAATTCTACCACCCACTTTCCAAAATCCAAAGTTTTCATTGTTTTTGTCAGTGACAGTGTCACTGTCTGTCACTACTGTCAAGTGTCAAGTATTCTTTTTTTTCCTACAAGAACAGAGCCCCGATTACGGTATTTTTTAACGTCAACAATCCAGACACGCTTCTCGATTCTGCGATACGATTGGTCGTTCAACAGCGTACGTCAGCTGTTTTGAACAATCGTATTGCAGAATCAGAAACGCGTCTGGATTGTAGACGTTAAAAGTTACCGTAATCGGGGCTCTGGCTAAGATCAGAGACCACCATACTGCGATTGCCATACCATGTAAACTACAAATGCACTGCTCTTAAAAAGTGACGATACTTCTTCCCATGCATGCCACCTTAAATTAGTGTCTGACCCGCCGCCCATCAGGGGCCTNGTGGGCCCGGCCATATCGCTATGGTATAGTGTCCACCCATGGGCATTTTTGGCATAAAACTTTAGATCGCGGCTGTAACTTTTCTATGGCTCACAATTTACAAGTACTACAGAGCCCCGATTACGGTAATTTTTAACGTCTCCAATCCAGACACGCTTCTCGTTTCTGCGATACGATTGGTCGTTCAACAGCGTACGTCAGCTGTTTTGACCAATCGTATCGCAGAATCAGAAGCGCGTCTGGATTGGAAACGTTAAAAGTTACCGTAATCGGGGCTCAGCCGGGTTCCCTCCCAGCGCATGTTTTACCCTAAAAATCAACAGAATTTAATCATTCAACATTTTTATAGGCAATTTTGTTAAATGTTGACATGTTTTTGTTGATTGTGTAGTAGGGCAGGGGTCTCCAAACTTTGAACCCTACAATAATCTTTGAACTTTAAAATCAATCAAATCGGGATGTGTTCATGTGATCTAAGTTCGTGTGTGAGTAAAAAATCTTCTCGAAAACTAAAATTGGACCTTTTAGTTAATTATTTAACCTTGGAAATTAGGAAAGTAGTAAAGACTTTGTTGATGATACTTTACGATACTTTCGTAATTAATTAAGCCACTCAATCATAGATGAATTAATTATCTAAGCACTCAATACTAGAAAGAAAGGCAAAATAAATATAAAAAGTAACAAAAGCCACATTCCAAAATGCATTAAGTTATATTTTTTTGTGTATCCGAACGCTATTGGTGACGTGCCGTGAATTCTCGAGACGTGGCTGACGTTTCGTGTTGTGTCATTTCATTTGTCGCCGCAATTTCTTTCTACGTGCTCATTTCCGATCATTTGCTCTGTATTTTATTTAGAACACAGTGATTTGTAAGTACAGTGCAATATTAAAACAACGCTTTCCACAAACCAGGTGTATTGAGACGATAAGTCTGTCTAAATTTGTGGTAATTTGTATTTCAGAAAATGGATCAAATCGCCAAGTTTGTGGAACCAGGCAAGCAGTTTGCCAAGGATTCCATCAGATTAGTGAGGAGGTGTACCAAGCCTGACAGGAAAGGTAAGCAATGAGACTATTTCTCACAATATACAATGCTCTAATACAAGAATCACTCGGCCATTCTCCGATCTAGAATGTTATAGCACAAACGGCATTAAATACCGTAACTGTAATGAATAAATAAGTTTAGTGCCAGTTTATTGATTCCTCTTGAAAAGTAGAACATGAGATACCTATTACTTAAGTTAGATTTTAATTAGCCTAGGAAATGGATCCTATTACAGTAAGAATCTTGTTACAATCCCATGATTTCTATGCTAATAGGATTGTTCTGATAAACGAGATTTCTGAATACAACCAGATGTTAAGCCATGCTGGCATTGTTTCATTGAACTATACAGTAGATACTTTTACTTTCACATTGATATGCTGTGCTTACAAAATAATAAAAACTTAAGGTTAGGTACCTAGTTCCACAAAGTGGCCAAATAATTGACTCAAATTAGTATAGCACTGTATTTGCATTTTGCAAGACTTTCAATTTATGAAAAAAATTGTATACATACAGTCTCTCTCCTCCTTTTGTTAAAGTAGGTTAAAAACTAGTTTAAAAAATGTAGTTAGCCATATGACCTAAGGAAAGTCACTCTGGATGTCATGGACTCATTTCATAAATATCAAGGATTCTAGTTGTCACTGTATCAGTCTCATGTTGGGAGATTAAAAAAAAATATTTCATAGATCGATAAAATTGAGATAAGTAAACAAAAACAAGTGTTAATTGAAATTTTCTCTTTCACAGAATTCCAAAAGATTGCCATTGCTACAGCTATTGGTTTCTGCATCATGGGTTTCATCGGATTCTTCGTAAAGCTGATACACATTCCAATCAACAACATCATTGTAGGATCGTAAACTGTAGTTCATAGCTAGTTTAGATTTAATTCTTACCTGTAAGCCTGCACCTAAGTTAATTCTCAACTACACATTTTCATTTTATTATACCTAAATATAAATTATTTCATTTTATACAAAACTGTTTTATTGTTCTAATCAGAGAAAATCTAAATATGTTGATAATTGTTTATGTATACCAGTAATTTACAGAATATTAAAATATAAATGAAATAGGACATGTCAAAAATAAGTTTTATTTGAATCATAACAATATTACATAAATATTTTTATTTGGATTTTGTCATCATGATGATGATAATAAGTCTAATGACTAGGATTTTATTTCCTAGGATCACTTAAAATTATATCAATGAATGAATTAAGTTTTTATTTAACTAGATAAACATCTGTACAAGAAGGTAGTAGGTATAAATAGTCACAAGGTAACAATAAAATCTTCTTTCTGAAGAAGGTGAGATTTTAGAGATAATTCTTACGATGAGGTGCTGAATGTTTATTTGATATAAATTAGCTAAAGTACCATGATCTGCAATCAATTGACCAGTAGATTTTTATACACGTTAGTGTTAGCGTCATCATAAATTATGCGACTTACATGAATTTTACAACACAAGTCGCGTAATTTATGTATGTTATAATATTTAGCATATTCTCCAACTAAACTTCAAAAGTAGCATAATATCATTCAACTCTTGGTGGAAATTGGGTAATTAATTTATTAAATAAAAAGGTACAAAGTATAGTATGGTCAAGGTCATGGTCAATTCCGCGGCTTCTCCATGACGTGAATATAGAAGCCAGGTACAGGCACTTCGCTGAGCGGCTTGAAGTCCGCGTAGATTTGGTGCTTGGCGCCCGACGCGAAGGCTTCGTCCAGCATATTCGTGAACTTGTCCAGTTTGTGCGGGTAGTAGCAGAGACGGAACTCACTGGAAAGACGACAAGACACAATCTTTTGAAAATGACAGCTAAATGGTTTTGAATTACTGTAGTTGTAAAATTACGAAGTGCACGTAGCACAAGCCAGGATTCGGTCAGATTATCCCGCTCTTTTCATTTATGCACTTTATGCGGGAGCTGTACATGTTTTAGAGAAATTGAGATATTTATAGATTCAAGGTGAATCCGCTTAAAAAGTAAGTAGGCAGATAAATATTATTACCTTGAGTTATTGATAATTTTGAATTAGTACGACGCCTTAGCAAAAAATGTTAGCAATGTTGCTAACCGCAAACGTAAATAAATTCTTGCTCTTTAGTAAATAATGCTGATGAATATCAAACAAGTCAATACGAGAGTACATCAAGGTAAACACTAAGTTCCTATATATTTGTAATAGGTTCCATATTGCAACAATTTGTAGTCTGAGGTGTTGTTGCTGTCAACGAGCATAAACAATAGGAACAAACCTCTTCCCAGAGTCGCCCTCGCCGGTGTCTATGCAGTAGTCGAGGGCGACCAGATGCGGCTTGCCGCGCACCACCAGTACCGACGTTTTGATGTCCACGGGGTATTTGCACTGGAGGAAAAACAGTCATATTATGGGGATGTATTTTTTTGAAAATGGGAAAATGTATATTCAATTTAGACCCATTTTTAGACCAAGATTTGGGGCACTTGTCAAAGTCAAACAAAATAAATATTTATTATAACTTTCGTGATCTAGATTATAAAGGTGTTGAACTCATGAACTCTATCTGGAGGGCTAGCAGTTAGGCAGTGGTAGTTTTGATGGATTAACCTATTATAGGGTGTGCTAAAAAAGGTGGTATCAGAAGAACACTGATTGATCATAAGTATAGGAAAAGGTTAATGAACGTGTACTTTATATTTTTCTATTTCTACTTGTTGACATCAATTTAGGCAGCTTAGGGCATTTGTATAATCGCTCCACTCTTCTATACTATATCTACGGCCATCCTCTCATCTATATAAAAATAACATCGGATAATAAAATGATCTGCGACAAAGTAGTCTTTTTTATTACTTTATAATGAAGTTGTTAACTTCTACTTATTTATCTATTCACGTAATATGTATAATTACGAAATAATAAGCGATAATCATATCGTTAAATGTAAACAAGGACGTTATGGTCGGTGATATAATATGGGCAAGCTATTCATTGCAAATCTTTAGTGCCGTTATCTAAATTTCAAATGGACTCTCATTGTGTTGTACAATAATTGTTTCTCAGAAGTTAACTTCATAGGTATTTTTGAGCGAAACAATATGAACCTTTCAGCAGTTCATAGCTACGGGGAATTCCTGGCTGCGACAAGCCACAGTGTTGCCATTTCATACAAAGTCAAAAATACGAACAGTCGTTCATTTAAAAAACATGGAGCAAAATGTGGGGCTTGACACTGGTATCAGGCTTAAATTATGTTACAAAGTTATTGAATTTCAACTAAAGTTTTATTTATTTATAGNATCTGTGGTACGACGCCTTAGCAAAAAATGTTAGCAATGTTGCTAACCGCAAACGTAAATAAATTCTTGCTCTTTAGTAAATAATGCTGATGAATATCAAACAAGTAAAGACGAGAGTACATCAAGGTAATAAGTTCTTATGTATTTGTAATAGGTGCTTTAATGCAACAATTTGTAGTCTGAGGTGTTGTTGCTGTCAACGAGCATAGACAATAGGAACAAACCTCTTCCCAGAGTCGCCCTCGCCGGTGTCTATGCAGTAGTCGAGGGCGACCAGATGCGGCTTGCCGCGCACCACCAGTACCGACGTTTTGATGTCCACGGGGTATTTGCACTGGAGGAAAGAACACAGTTCTGAGTATTTCTATCATCAAACGTCTTTATAGCCACTAGGTTTTTGCAGTGGAGGAAAAACAATAAATTTTGATATATCTCACGAACTCTATCTGGAGGGCATAGCAGTAGCTAGAGTGGAATTAACGGTAAAAGGCGATTATCACACTGCACCGCGCTCCGCGTGGCGACATATAACGAATCCCGCGGGCAAACGCGTTGTCAGTGTGTTGTGCCGCGCGTGTTTTCTATACAAACTGAGGTACTTGCATAATATAATGATTAAATCTATCGTCCCGCGTACCGCGGCGCAGTGTGATAATCGCCTAAGGCAGTGGTAGTTAGATGGAATAATGTAAGGGCGTGCTAAAGAAAGATAATATGGTCAGAACCAAACATAACCATAGTCGATCATAATAGGAAAATGTAGGTAGGTAGATAAATGAATGTATAGTTTATCGTTTTCTATTTATCGGATAATTGTCGTGGACAAATACAAAGTTGTCTTTTTTATTACTTTTAATAAAGTTGTTAACTTCTTAATCAACTTATCTATTCACGTAATATGCATAATTACGAAATAATAAGCGATAATCATATCGTTAAATGTAAACAAGGACGTTATAGTTGGTGATATAATATGGGCAAGCTATTCATTGCGAATCTTTAGTGCCGTTATCTGAAATACGCGTTTGTTCGAACGGAGTCTCATTGTGTTGTACAATAATTGTTTCTCAGAAGTTAACTTCATAGGTATTTTTCAGCGAAACAATATGAACCTTTCAGCAGTTCATAGCTACGGGGAATTCCCGGCTGCGACAAGCCATAGTGTTGCCATTTCAACAAAGTCAAAGAATACGAACAGTCGTTCTTTTAAAAAATCAGTTTAACATTGCAATTTATTTTACATTGTATAAAATGGTGTATAATGGGTTTGGCTTCAATGTAGAATCGTAGCTTTGACTTGTTTGAGTCGTAGTGCAAGAAAAGTGCATAGGAGGATGTTAGCGACAGATCACCGGTGCTAGGCCATTGTCTATGGACTGTAGCCTAGCAATGGTGTTGGCCATTTTGTTTTGCTACATACTTTTTCTTTAAGATAATTTCTGTTATCTTATTATTTTTACGTGATCTAGAATATAGTTTTGTTTATTTGTGATAATAATCATTATTTGTTCCGTGCCAATATCCGGAATCCATCTTGTTGAGTAAAGCCCCTGTCTTTTTTCATGGTTTTTTTCGTCTTAGCAACTTCCTCCCTTCGACTTCCGGCGCCACCATCGCTCGTTTTGGTGGGGGCAATGGCGGCGACCGGAATATGGCGCGGCTTTTTGATAATTATAGCGTCGTCTTTCGTAGTGGTAACACGTCTTAGCAATAATTATTNCCAAAACCTCGATTGCGTGTATTGGATTCGACAGTTGATTGCAATATCACAAGATCGTCGGAGACAAGGTAATATCAAAGAGCTTTTTATTACTGCGAGGGGAGACCCAAAACCGGCATCCAGAACGGTTCTCGGCGGCTGGATCAAGTCCGTGCTGCGGGATGCAGGCGTGGAGGCCCCGCCGGGCTCTGTGCGGTCCGCCGTAGCGTCTCTAAATTGGATAGAACATTTTCCAGTAGACCAAATTCTTGCAACCGGTAACTGGAGGCAAGAGCATACATTTAGGACCTATTACCAAAAAGAAATAATTAATCAAGCATCTGATACTGATTTATCGCACTCGGTTTCTCTATCTAATTTCTTTGAACCGGTGCAGTAATTTATGTTACAAATTAATAAATAGATTATTGAAAGTAGACTAGATTTTGCCTGATGATCTGTAGTATACATTCATTATCATGAATATAGAGATTTAATATACCTATAACCTGTATTTATTTTTCATAAGACATAGCATCATCATTTGACTACCAGGAGATAACAAACACATCACTCAACAAGATGGATTCCGGATATTGGCACGGAACAAATAATAGAGAGTTTTAACTAACAATAAAACTTACCTATTATTTTTCCAACAATATCCGGAATCCAGGTAATGCCTACCTGGTACCATCGTGAGTAAGTATAATGATCAAAAAGCCGCGCCATATTCCGGTCGCCGCCATTGCCCCCACCAAAACGAGCGATGGTGGCGCCGGAAGTCGAAGGGAGGAAGTTGCTAAGACGAAAAAAACCATGAAAAAAGACAGGGGCTTTACTCAACAAGATGGATTCCGGATATTGTTGGAAAAATAATAGGTAAGTTTTATTGTTAGTTAAAACTCTCTATTTTATTTCTGTATCTATCATTTCGTTATTGCAAAATGCTATGATAGAAGAAAGAAAAACTACTCACATTATAATAAATAGAGTGTCCAGGGGCGGCGCCACTGTCGATCATGGCGTCATAGTTCCTATGGTCTATGAACAGCAGGCCGCCCGGTTTCAGGCATTCCGCGAAGTTCTGCAGACACATCTTCTGTACCCTTTGGTCGCCGTGCTCGTCGAGCAGATGGGCGAATGAGTTGCCGAGGCAGATGACGGCGTCGAACTTGGTCGGCGGGAGGAACGGTTGGATGTCGCGGGGAAGCGTCTCCCAGGTAGCTTCTTCGATGACTGAAAAAAGGAGATTATTTTAAAATAACGTCACTTAGGCGACCCCCGTCCTCTAGCCAGGCTGCGGCAGACAATCGAACAAAACGTCCACGCACTAGGCAGAAAAGTGTTCATATACCGGATTGGCTGGCACAATCAGGCTGCCTAGTGCGCAGGAGTCCTTATGGAACAGTGGTGTTGCGACTTTTTAGCAGATAGATAAGGCGATTATTATTATCATGTAAGACTTTATTGTAACTACTTAGAGGTGCATAACAAAAATACAAATGGGGGATTCCCCGCTACATGAAACTGAAACAATTTGTAACCTAATAACTCGATAGGCATCAACAACTTTGTATCAGATATAATTTTATCGTTTAAAAGTCAATGAAGAACATACTACGATACTGTTTCCTTGATCATTTCTTAGAATCTGAACTGGTCCTTTAAGGAATGCTAATACTTGAAAGAATTATGCGATTCTAGACATGAAAACTACATGCTAAAACCCCACTTGTAGAAAATAAACAACTGTTATGACTACTTACTCCACTCATCGTATTTGGTGTCTTTCCTCTTCTCCCAGCGCGCTTTAAGCGCGTGCTTCAACATCTTGTCGGACGCGTCCACTGAGACCACCTTGAAGCCTTCGTCTACCAACATCATGGAGTCGATGCTGGAAATTAAAAATACAGCTCAAATATACATAATATTCAAACGTTATTAAAATTTCTTAGCGAATAGTCTTAGAAAAAAACGAACTGCCTAAGGCGGGGCTCGAACCCACGACCTTCCGCTAGATAATATTATAAATTAGCACAATACCTGCTTATTAGCGCTTAGGGCATGAGTTCGTAAATAAAGTTTATTGGCCAAGAATATGGCCATAATGAATTTTAATTTCCTGGGATACCTAAGTATGAAGATAGACAATAAGACTGACTCTAAAATATATCATCCATTAACTTTGTGTGAAAAGTCCCTTTGAAGATCCCTAAATAAAATTATCTGTAATATCTAAGCATACGCAATAATAAGGCTGATGTTAGTTTGTTTACCCCACATTGTACATTTGTTTCGATCGAAACGAAAAACATTTCGTCATGTATTTTGATCGCGTTTATCTTGTTGTGATACGCTGCCTCCGTCAGGTCGTGTAAGTGACCCCTAATATCCAGGGAACGATAATATTCAATATTATCTGACCACGTATCGTATGTTGTCTTGGCGTTAAGTGAAAGTTCAATTCCTTTCTAACGCTTTGTTTTTGCAACGAAAGGCGCACCGTAACACAATCAAGATTGTATGGTAAAAACAATTGGCAAAAATACCTGATATTTCTTTCAGAAATCTCTGAAACTATAACTTTCATTATTATTTAGTAATCAAAGTATATGACATAACAGTATGTTATCTGTCTGTGACATAACTAAAGGATAATACCAGTTAATTACAAAATTATAGGAGGAAGTCACTAAGATAATTAAGTGCAACTCATTTATTACTCAGCTGCGTTTTTTCTGTTGTCAACAGCCCAACTGCATTCTTGTAACTATCCTACAGGTTTTCCTTGTGCCTTGAATTTCCCATCATCTGTCATACAATTGGAATTTTCACACGTTCAACACGTTTGTTTAAGTAACTATTTAGTCCAGTAGAATTAGCTTTTNATAATATTAGTTGGGATATTCAATCGTTATTAAAATTTCTTAGCGAATAGAATCGCTTGAAACTAAATTTTAACTAAACAACTTGAAAAAATCGAACTCCCTAAGAGTAGGCGCACACCGTTGAGTTTAGTCGGGCAGTTGATCAGTATGGGCATGTGTGGGAGTGCGCACACTACGCCGATTCGATTTGGCCGATTCTTCATACAAATTAAAATCGGGCACAACCAACCAACTAAAAATCAACGGTGTGCGCGCCCGTACTAAGGCGGGGCTCGAACCCACGACCTTCCGCTAGATAATATTATAAATTAGCACAATACCTGCTTATTAGCGCTTAGGGCATGAGTTCGTAAATAAAGTTTATTGGCCAAGAAGACTGACTCTAAAATATATCATCCATTAACTTTGTGTGAAAAGTCCCTTTGAAGATCCCTAAGTAAAATTATCTGTAATATCTAAGCATACGCAATAATAAGGCTGATGTTAGTTTGTTTACCCCACATTCTACATTTGTTTCGATCGAAACGAAAAACATTTCGTCATGTATTTTGATCGCGGTTATCTTGTTGTGATACGCTGCCTTCAGGTCGTGTAAGTGACCCCTAATATCCAGGGAACGATAATATTCAATATTATCTGACCACGTATCGTATGTTGTCTTGGCGTTAAGTGAAAGTTCAATTCCTTTCTAACGCTTTGTTTTTGCAACGAAAGGCGCACCGTAACACAATCTAGATTGTAGGTATGGTAAAAACAATTGGCAAAAATACCTGATATTTCTTTCAGAAATCTCTGAAACTATTACTTTCATTATTATTTAGTAATCAAAGTATATGACATAACAGTATGTTATGTTCTGTGACATAACTAAGGGATAATACCAGTTAATTATCAACAGCCCAACTGCATTCTTGTAACTATCCTACAAGTTTTCCTTGTGCCTTGAATTTCCCATCATCTGTCATACAATTGGAATTTTCACACGTTCAACACGTTTGTTTAAGTAACTATTGATAGGTTTTCAGAAGACATAAAAGATCTACAAAACTTTATATCACAATCAGTAACCCGATTGGCTGAACTTAAAAGCCAGTTTAGGTATAAGTAGATCTTGTCATCCACGAAGACGCGCCCCAGCAATTTTTGGTCGAGGGAAGCGCGGGGTGCGGGGATTTTGATCCGAGCGTCATTATTGTAGTGTGCGTGTGCACTTATGGTAATTTAGCGTGTAGTTACCTACCGATAACACTCACACATTAGCGGAAGAATGGTGGGGCACATCTTCGTGGATCTCAAAGGTTGAAGTTGAAACAGAGTTGAAGCATTTTTATAAGACTTACCCAGTTCCACAAGCGATGTCCAGCACATTGACGCAGCCATGCTTCCTCAGCAGTCCGATGAGGAAGTTCTTATAGTTCTGTGTCCGCACCGTCGTGTCTCCCACAAACTTGTGCCACGTTCGCGCCGCCTTGCCGTCTGCGTACTGGTCCTTCACTCCCTCGGAGGGGATACCCTCGGACCGGGAGTGGAATACTTGGTCAGCCGACATGCTTGGTGGTTACTGGAAGAAGGGAGATTAGGTGATGAGTTTACTGTTGTTTACTGGGAGACAACCCCATGACGTTTGGTAACCCTTTGCTCAAGGTGGTTCAAACTTAACGGATTTTTCTTTTCATATTTCCTTTTTCCTAGTAATAGGGCATTCCAGAATCTGTGCAGTCATGCAACATCGGACTGGGTCAGTGAGGGGCTCTCTACATGAGGTGCTCCAGTTACTTTAAGTTTAACTTGTACAGTTACTTAGAATAATATTGCTATAAATTCTGCCGCACAATTTATAAACGCAGTAAGTAACACGTGAACAGTTTCGAGAAAAACGCGATCAAAGTTGAAATTTTATTTTGGGGTGTCTACAATTAGTTACGCAAATATTTGTAAAAAAAAATATATGGGCTTATAGAGCTAAACTCAAAGTTTATTTTGATATGATGTTTTTGTATTTTAATTAATATTTTGTATTTNACGCACAAGGATAGGCGCATCAAGCTCGTAAGCCTTGATAGGTTTACACTGGTTGAGGTGGCCCTTTTCAAGACTTGGAAGCCTGTGGGTAACAAGCCATTGGACGTGAAGAGGGTCATTAATTATACGTATATTTTCTACTTTTCCGAACTTTAGCGCGGGAACGGTTTGTCCAAAACTTCAACCGTCATGAAGACCACTTTTCGATAGGGTAAGTCCTTTACGCGGTATAACCGGAAAACCGAAAAAACGCCTCTTTCGGGGGCCCCCACCACTTAAGCACAACTCCGTCGAAGTCGAAAACTTAGGAGAGTCTTAATGTGCAACCAATGAAGCCATTAAAGCAAAAAAATCTTTTGTAGGAATTATTTCCGATTTAATCAATTTTTGTGTTTAATTCTACTGGCCTAATTGATAGGTTTTCAGAAGACATAAAAGATCTACGAAACCTTTTATCACAATCAGTAACCCGATTGGTTAAACTCAAGCCAATTTGGCTATAGATCGTGTCATCCACGTAGACGCGCCTCACCAATTTTTGGTCGAGGGAAGCGCGGGGTGCGGGGTTTGATCCGAGCAATCCGAGCGTCATTATTGTAGTGTGCGTGCGTGTGCACTCATGGTAATTTAGCGTGCACCGATAACACCCACAAATTAGCGGAAGAATGGCGGGGCGCGTCTTCGTGGATGGCATTATCAATTTTCGTAAGACTTACCCAGTTCCACAAGCGATGTCCAGCACATTGACGCAGCCATGCTTCCTCAGCAGTCCAATGAGGAAGTTTTTATAGTTCTGTGTCCGCACCGTCGTGTCTCCCACAAACTTGTGCCACGTTCGCGCCGCCTTGCCGTCTGCGTACTGGTCCTTTACTCCCTCGGAGGGAATACCCTCGGATCGGGAGTGGAATACTTGGTCAGCCGACATGCTTGGTGGTTACTGGAAGAAGGGAGATTAGGTGATGAGTTTACTGCTGTTTACTGGGAGACAACCCCATGACGTTTAGTAACCCTTTGCTCAAGGGGGTTTAAACCTAACGGGTGTCTTTCTCCAAGACTGATTGGCACATACTTGAGATTTTCCAAATGTATTTTTTGCATATGATTTAATTTTTCCTAGTAAGAGGACATTCCAGAATCTGTGCAATCTTGCAGCCTCGGACTGGGTCAGGGTGGTGGCTCGATCTCTAGTTACTTTAAGTTTATTAAGTGCACAGTTACATATAATAATATTGCTACTAATTTTATTATTTTGCATTTTTAGAATAATATTGATGATAAAATTCGAAACGCACTAACGTAATGGAACATAATAATTCTGTAACTCACTAACAGAAGCGATAAAATCGTTACCTTTTTATGTCATTACAAGTGGACTTGGCAACACCTCTGATTTCTGATGTTATTGTTTCTTATCTATTAAAATGTTTTACTTTACTTTTACTCATTCTTTATTTAGATAGATACAGACCTTGAAAGTTAAAAAGATTTTCTTATCGCAGTGCATATTTATTTGCTACCGACAAAAAGCAGACGAGATTGATATCTGTCTAGGCAACTACTTGAAAGAGAAGAATCAGCATCGCATATCTTATCAAAATGAATTTCTAGTTTTTTATTTTTTTCTTCGCAACAGAGCATAAACAGAAATCAAAATGAGCTATACATTTCCTGAATTTAAGCAACACTACGTTTAAAATATAATTATTATATTACACACACACAAGATGCTGAAAATGGCCGAGTGATAGAGACCTAATACTTTTATGANATTCAAAACAATCATAAATGCAGTAAGTGGTACTTACTGCGTTTATAAATTGTGCGGCAGAATTGTATTGTTTTGCATTTTTAGAATAATATTGATGATAAAATTCGAAACGCACTAGCGTAATGGAACATAATAATTCTGTAACTGACTAACAGAGGCGATAAAATTTTTACCTTTTTACGTCATTACAAGTGGACTTGGCAACACCTCTGATTTCTGATGTTATTGTTTCTTATCTATTAAAATGTTTTACTTTACTTTTACTCCTTCTTAATTTAGATAGATACAGACCTTGAAAGTTGAAAAGATTTTCTTATCGCAGTGCATATTTATGCTACCGACAAATAAGCAGACGAGATTGATATCTGTCTAGGCAACTACTTGAAAGTGAGCAGCGCTATCTTTTCAAAATCAATTTCTAGGTTTTTATTTTTTCCTTCGCAACAGAGCATAAAATGAGAACACAAATGAGAGTTATACATATTTTCCTGAATTCAAATTAAGCGACAATACGTTAAATAATGACATAGGCCGTTATTGTAACCACACAAGCTGCTGAAAATGGCCGAGTGATAGAGACCTAATACTTTTATGAGTGATAATAACAACGTAGGTATTGCATCATATCATTTCCATTGTTAAAAAGGATATTAGCTACCTAGCTGTCCTATCAGTTTTGCAAAAATGCGAATCCGACATAAAAAGTTCGTTTACCAACCTCTATCCAACTTTCGAAAAACCGCGCAAAAATTATATCAAACACTTTCAACCAAATCTAAGCCACTGGCGACCGCACACGCGTGCAGTGTTGCGAAGTTAGTTTGCCATATCACATTATTCACGTTTTCAGTGGCGCGAATCAAAGTTATGTAAAGGCCGACTTACGTTGACGCAACAGTTATCTTAAGCTCCTGACCGCCGACTGATTGATTCGCAGGCTCCCCGACAATATAACTGTTGATACCATTCGCGGCCGCGGACTGGCTACTGCATGATTGGCAAAAGCGCGACGTGTGCTCCGATAGATTTCATTTTCCTTTAGCACATGTTTTTCCCTTTCATTCCGAGTCATTCATGCTAAGTGTATATCATGGTAGGATGACTCAGCAAATATTGATGGTAAACAAAATAGTACGCTGCCGCAACTGTGATGGATAGCGCAATCTCTACGTCTGGTGTAATCAGTCAATTTTAAAGACAACAGTTAACTGTTCAGAACAACTAATTATACATGCTTCCGCATTGTTTTAATATTAAATTATGTATCGTGTAATATTTTGCGCATAAAAGAATATATATTTATTCGACTTAAAAACTTAATACACATAATATTTACTACGAAAAATACCCCGAAAAAGAAATCCGGCAAGTGGTTATTAACCTGACCTCGAATCCCTAATTTGCCAACAAATTACAGCTTTCCGCACATTCCTGTTTTTCGAGAATAAAACTTCTTCGTACTTAATGAGCAGGGATATGAACGCGAGTGTACAGAACCCCTAGGTATGCACTTGTATCAAGTGCGATTTGCAACAAAAATATTACCTATATTCTGATGTTGTAGACTGTACTAGATAAGAGCTTAATATTTTGCTGAGATAAAATAACTATTTCAATTACCTAACTGTTTTACACGTGATTTATTAAATTAATAATCGAAACGGTTGGAGTTAAAAATCTCGGCCAATTGTCGAGCTGTATAATTCTGTGTCTTCTAAAACCTATACCAATTACTTTTATAACTGAGAAACAGCTATCCGCTAACGACGCTAACTAGCTAAGCAGACCATGACGTAACAAGCGATACGCGTTACGAGATGATAGTGGCATCTGTTATCAAAGCACTGGGTCAGTCGCGCAGCCTTGCGGGCCTGTACACGATAGCAGCTCGCAGTCGGGTCGGAATCGTGTCGGAGATATAGGAAGTTTTGCATTGCTACACTTGCATGAGACCAATCCGGTCTCTGTCATGAACAAAATGTCAAGTCTATTCCAAGAAAAATAAAAAAAATTATCAAGAAAACTTACCTATTGTATGTGGCAATCCCATCCTGTGATGGCTTCAGTTTGAGAATAATAAATCTCGTATTCCACTAACTGATCACTGCACTTTAAAAATCACACTGAATAATGTTTTTCATAATGTCAAAAATTTTGAGATACAATCGTTGAAATCGTACCGTGTAAACACCATTACAGAAAAAAATTCTCACCAGATTTTACTAGTTGGTCTGCTATCTTTACTCAATTATCGTCAAAAATATGTTAATATATGCGATCTTCGTCGATCAAGTTTGAACCGCGGTATAACACGTGAGCAATTCCATTGAACCGTAATCATGTTTGCGAGTTAATTTCGCTCTTGTCCTCATTGACATAAAGTTCACATTTGGAGCAAATTATTTTAAATACAAAAAATAACTTCTTAAACTGTAGGCATATAAACATAGTGTGACATAAAGGCAACAAGATATGTCTCAGTAACTCGTCCTACTAATTTATGTGCGAATCACAGATACACGTTTTTTACTTCACGTTTGTTTCGTCAGCGTGAGCAAGACTAACACAAAAAAAAACTCTCAATACGAGTTTATTATAATTCCCGTAATTAATGTTAGCAAATAAGTAGCGGTCTGGCTGGGAACAGTATGTGGTTACTAACCTATGCTAAAATTAGTTGCAGGAATTGAAAGCAAGTGTAACTTATAGCGATTTCCGTAAAAGAATGACAGTACAGTCAGCGTCAAGTAGTTCGTGACACCCAAAGTAGCCAATAAGTTCGCACCACGTCTCTGTTACAATTGAAATAAGGTTGTGTTATAAACTTTTTGGCCACTTTGGGTGTCACGAATTATTTGACGCTGACTGTACCTACGAGGGTTTTCGCGAATGAAAAATCCGCCAGATGGCAATACGTAGACGCGAGGTCCAAATGCTGCATGATTGGTTATTTTTGACATGACATTGACAGATATGTCAAAATCCACCAATCACGCAGCAGTCAGACCCCACATCCACGTCCCGCCATCTAGCGGATCTTTCATTCGCGAAAACCCTCATTTCCATCTCTCCTATCATCAAATCAAATTAAACAATAATTTATTATAATCACCATGATATTTATTATCATCCACCAAATGCATGTCAATAACTAACTTTACGGTTAGATTTATAATTCCATAATAAATGTAACATAACATTTGCGAAAAAATATTACAGATTTATCTCAATCGTCCACTTCATGTCTCACATAATAACACTATAAATTCAAGTCCCATTTACACGTAGCCATTCGAGTTAACGAAATAGCATGGTGACCAAACAGATATCATAGAATAGGCAACTTACATGACAATTTGACCCGAATTAAGGCGCGTGCGCATAGGTCTTTTGTCGCCGCGACAGTATTATCCATGACGGTATATCTGTTTCTTTTACACCTTTATAAAAAAAAGAGATAATTATTGTCACGATGATAAAAGTCACCCGTGCGCGCGCGCCGTTATAATTTTACTAGCACATTTATTAAACCCTTTCACTGTGCACAAATGAGTCAACAATAAAACATTGTTCGTTCAAGTACGGACGACGGCATGTCAAGCCTAACATTGGCTTTTAATGTGGTTGTAATAGATGCTAATTTGTAACAAAAATGTATAACCTGACGTGCCGTCTACTGTAGAGTATTGCATTTGCAATTTCAATATGTCTTTATATTTACTATTTCATGCATAACATTTATTACCACTATACTTTGAAAAAATATACTTATTAACGTGCAGGGACCAATGTATAATAACTTTTTTCATTACAATCACATCGTAATAATATCGTGAAGATGACCACATTTAGCCAATATATTCTAGATTTTGTAATACTAAGCCCTCTTGCTTGACTACGACATAAAACTGTTTAATCTCACACAGGTGCAGTTTTAATATTATTGCTAACAATGACAGTAATATTGGCACACTAATATTAATCTGTTTCATTATTTAACCAATCTGTATCATTGATCCTTTTTGTTGATGTCACACAATCTTAGGTATAATACATGTGAAGAATACGCTACACGCAATAAAGTAATTGAATAAGTATTATCAACTTCCTGATTAGCGATTCGATTACTAACAATATTGGTACATCCATACCCAACATCACAAAAGTAGTTACGAAAATATATCTTTCTATATTATAATCTGCCTGGCTTCCGTGCAGTGATCAATATTTATTTGGATTCTGATCTTCGTAACATCTTTATTATAGTCTCAGTAGCAGAAGAGAGAGGTGTTTACATTTCGATTCTCTAATTATTGTAGTGTCGTCAACGCATCACCAGCGACTGAGGCGGCGGACCCTTATCTTGGATCAAATGTTGGCGCCAACATCTGACGCGTCGATGCCCAACATGGCCAAGTCATCCATTTCCTCCTTATTCTTTGCAGGCGGACCGTTTGCTTGCGCCGGCGGCTGCGGTTCCGTCTTCGGCTCCTGCTTGACCTCCGGTTTATTCTGCTGCTGCGACTGCTGTTGCTGTTGATTTTGCTGCTGTTGATTTAGTTGCTGCTTCTGTTTGTTCTTGTTGTCGTGCTTGGGGCGCGAGTGTCTCGGCTTGGGCGATGCCTGCGGCACGAGCGGCACGTGCGCGTCATACAACGAGGCGCGCGGTGGAAACAGCTGCGCATTGAGATCGAACCCGAACATTGGTTGCGGCTGGAATAGCGGCGGGAAGGGAGGTATACCGCCCAGTGACATGGGGAAGCCGGGCGGCAGGCCGAAGATGCTGTCCTGTTGAGTCAGGTCCGGTTTGACTTCGGTCGGGAAGATGATGTCGAGGGCCTCTTGGAAGTCTTTGGGCAGGGTCGGCGCTAAAGCGGGAGGAGGCGGCGGCGTCCTGGAAAATACATGTTCGTTTCATAAATGGGTATTTAATGTCAAATTAAGTGGTGATTTATACAAGAATGATCTCTGGAGGACATGAAATGAAACATGGTAGTTTATGAGAAAATTTCATTATGAATAATACATTTGACAACTTTGGTACTTATTTATGAAAGAGATGTTTACATCAAAATGCTTATCGATACCCCTGGGCTCATCTTTTGTGTGGACACATGAAATATAACTCTTATGTTCCTTCTGATTAATTTCGTTGCGGGTCCAATAATAGTTATAGATCGTGCCATCCACGAAGACGCGCTCCTCGCTAATGTTTGAGTGTTATCAGTACTACAATAATGACGCTCGGATTGCTCCGCGCTTCCATCGACCAAAAATTGGTGGGGCGCGTCTTCATGGGTGGCATGATCTACAACAGACAACTTTTCACGAGACAAACTTGACTTTCACATATTAAATTATTATTGGCGGTCAAGCTGTAGATCATTAGTAATAAATAATATTAATTATCCTTGGACATATAACACTGCGCCTCTAGTCCCAAACTAAGCAAAGCTTGTACTATGGGTACTAGACAACGGATATAACATACTTAAGTACTTTTTTAGTAAATACATATAGATGTTGTTACTCAGACCCATCACAGAAATTAAAATTCATCATTTAAATTTCTGCCTGGCCGGGAATCGTACCCGGGACCTCTCGGCATAATATACTCAATATCAAATAAACCGCACCTTCCGCGACGCGAACTTTAACGATTTTCTTCTGACACAATCATGGCGCCCCAACAATATTGGTGTTATTTGAAAGCCCAATAAATATCCTTATAGAAAAACACATTTAATTTCTTAATAAATGATTAACATATACCATAAATGTGACTTGAAAAAATACCTTACTTTGGGCCCACCTATGAGATCAATTAGACCAATTTTTATGGTTATAAAACCAAATAATGATTTCACTTGTCCTCTTTAACAGATGGATAACAATTAAACCCAACTTAACAGTTTTATAGCCATAAAAGTTGGCTCTAGCGTAACTACCTATTTCTTGAAGAAGTGACTCTGGGTCCTTCTAAAAACACATTTTTGGGGTAAAAACCTTTCCTTTAATGAAATGAAGGTTAGAACTAGGCTTTTAAATGGTACCAATATTAATGGGCAGTGGGGATGCATACGTTTGAAAATGCTTGTCGCGGGAGGTGCGATTTATTTGACGTCGAGTGTAGTTCTTTCTGAACCACTACACCAAACGGCCGACTAATCGAATAGTCCTATTTGACTAGTTGTGCAACTGTTTGTTGTTACTCACGGCTGCGGCAGGTAGGCGGGCGGCGGCGGCGCGGCGAGCTGTGCGGGCAGCGCGACGCCGGGCGGCGGCAGCGCCACCTGCGCCTGCCTCTCGAGCTGCGCGCGCGCTATCTTCTCCTTGAACTCAGCCACCTGGCGCGGGAACACATCGTCAGAAACCAGTAGGTGAGGAGCAAGCTGTTGGACAGCTCGTGCCTAAACTATGACATCAGAGGTGGAATTGTGTAAAGCAATCGTTATCATTTGACAGTTCATAACGTACGATTATTCTGTCAAACGCTTTGTTTAACTGACTTTATCGTACGTTATGAACTGTCAAATGATTATTGATTGCTTTACACAATTCCACCTCTGAACAGAGGACTTATGCCCGTTTTCATCATCAATCCCTAATATAAGTGACCCCTATGGTAACACAGGAATTTTGTTTACATAGGGATCACTTAAAAATTAGTGTGTTTACATGAAACGTCACTAGCGAGCGCGTCAAAAAAATATATGGAGATTTTAGTTCTTGAAAGTTTCCGCTAGGGGCGCTGTGCAATCTGTCATACACTTAGGCCCAGACCCACTTTTTTGAGTTTCAAACTGGTCGCGTCATGTGTGGTCTCTCAACGGACGCTATGGCAAAAACTTTGCAACTCAAAAGTAACTAGCAGTTGCAGTTTCGTTGCAGTTGCGTTTCACCGTCTGTTCTGGGCCTTAATGTCACTTTTTTACGCATTCGATATCGAATGCGTTTGAAGTAAACTCACACTACGCCCCCAGAAAATTGCTGAGCGTAATTCCAGGGCAATCGGTCAGCGGTCCGAGCGAGGCGCCCGTACAGTGAACAGGGCAAATCTTTTAACTCCAAAGTAACGCTTTATTTCAAAGAATCTTTATGCTCTTAACAAATACGTCTAGTTTCCTTGGAAAAAACAAACACGCGATGTGCTTTGTTCGAGTTAGGTGCAAAAGTCATTCGAGCTCGAGTTAACCCTCATAACATTAGATACATAAATGAATATTATAAAGGTTTGATATGGAAAACTTTGCCCTATAGCTCACCTGATTGAAAATAGCGACGGGTAAGTCGTCTAGGCCGCACGCAGCGAAGGGAAAAATAAATGGTGAGGTAAAAATGAATTCTACCGTGCACAAATATTATGTGGTCTATACCAACCCCCCAAAAGATGAGCATCCCTTACTTAAATAAGTATCTTGATTGGACTAAATATTACATGAACAGTGACCAAGCTTAATAAGGTATTGGTGTCGCTGATTAACTACGCTTCTACAATATTAGCTTAATTTTTTTAACTCACAATTTTGATCATTTTTCAACCGACTTCAAAAAAGGAGGAGGTTTTCAATTCGACCCGTATGTTTTTTTTTCTATGTTTGTTACGCGATAACTCCGCCAATGAGGATCATTTCGATTTTTAGCTGTGAATGCAGATTTATAGGGCTAAGAAATCCTTAATACACAGTCCAAAAATTTTTGTTCTACGACAAAAATTGAGGAAGTTATGGCCAAATTACTAAAAAAGTTCACTGACCGCCCGGCGCGGGGACGATGACGTCATTATATCCGATCCGAACGCTGCCGGCGTACTGCGTGGATAGAAAATATTTTTTTCTAGCCAAACTATCAGTTTTAGAGAAAAACTTGTAATGACATTTATTCATCAGAATAAAGTAAGGTATCGATAGGTAATTTTAAAAAATACAAATTGTGAAAAATAACGCAAAAAATCCATACGCTCATACGATTCAATGGAACGCAGAGACGCGATTGGGGTCTCCGCGGTGGTATATTTGGCGATTTATTCAAATAAAGTGTTCATAAGTGTTGTCTTCTTCCAAGTAAAATATAAAAATGTATAAGTATTAATTTATTTACTTCTAAGAATAAGGTATAGCTGAGGCAGATACACTCTGCCTAGGCTACAAGACATTGCTATGAAGATCATTTCGATGTAATTATGAACCGATTTGAACAAATCTTTTTTCTGCGTATAGGTAATACCTCAAGGGTGGTCCCATTTAAATTTAATAATAGAAAAAACAACCCCCAAGGGTGGAAAATTGGGGATTAACTTTTTTATACGCAATATCTCCGCCGATTATAAATCAATTTGAACGATTATTTTTTTGTTGAATATTATCAAAAGGGTGGTTTCATGCGAATTTGAAGAAAATATTTCACCCCCAAGGGTGGAAAATTGGGGATGAACTTTTTTATACCCAATATTTTAATTTTTTTTTTTTTTGTGTTCTCGCATTTGAAGTCGGTTTTATTTTTTTTAAAAGTTAATTATCTTTGCAATGGAACTACGAGAAAAAGCAATGGTAATAAAGAAATATTAAAAAATACTATAAACAAATGTTACTAACTAAACGACATCTAAGCCCACCTTTTTCTGTATCTCAGCGTCCATTTCTTCTCTTCTCTTCTTGGAGGCCTCTTCTTCGCCCTTTTTCTTTTGCTCCTCCTTCTTTTGTTCTTCCTGCTTGATGGTCTTGCCCAAATGCTTGTATACAGGCATTTTACCTGTGAACAACATTAACATTTTCATTGACTTACTTTGACTTATGCCCGTTTTCACCATCATTCCTTAATTTTTAAGTGACCCCTATGGTAACAAATAACATGAATTTTGTCAATATAGGGGTCACTTAAAAATTAGGGACTGGTGAAAACGGGCATTAATGTCCTATGTTCCCTAGATGGAGCAGAGGGCGACCAAACAGTTCTCCATCGCGTTCGGTGACTAAATTAGAATTTGTAGTACGCAACAGAATGTAGACACGTTTGTTTGTTCGCTTTGGGAATTAATAGAAATACACCTAATGCTATTCCTCAACAAACCTGCTGACTAGCATGTAAGTGTTAGACGAACACTGTTTTAATACCAAAAAAATCCTACTAATATTATAAATGCGAAAGTTTGTGTCTTCATATCTTCATATAGAGATTTTTGTTGCAAAATGGCACCTACTACAACGACTTAAGTTGCTAGTGTTCAGCTTGTTGTTGTACCGTCGTCTGTACATAAAGCAAGGTTTACAAAATACTCACCAATAAACGGCATCTTCCTGATCTCCGGCTTCTTCACGTCAGTCTGCGAGGGACTCCTCCGGCGCTGTTCGTCCCGCGTTTCCCGCGAGCGGGATTTACGGGACTCGCGGGAATCGCGCGCGTCGCGGGATTCGCGTGTGTCGCGGGAGTCGCGTGTGTCGCGGGATTCGCGCCGCTCGTGCGGGCTGCGCTCGCGTCGCTCGCTTTCACGCTCTCTCTCTCTGTAAGATGGAGTCGATCTTAACTTATACAGGGTGGAAACGATAAGTGATCTCACTCGATTATTTCTAAACTATACAAGATATCGAAAAACTGGTTACTGATTCTGAAAGTGTTCCACAAGCTCTTTAAAACGGTACCAATAATAGGTTACAGAATAAACTGGAACTATCCCAAAATTCAATGTTTCCAGCTTCCATACTAAATGTATGCCGACGACACATTATTAGAAGTGTAATTTATTCTTTGTTAATTAATAAACTTAAAATGTCGGTTAAATAAACTCGTAACTTGCATCTTATTTAAAATTATTAGTAAAAAACATAAGTTTCAGGCTTTACTTGCTATAAAATTATCAAGAGATGAGTGCCATGACTGTGATAGTACTAAATGTATGGAAGACGGAAACATTGAATTTTAGGATAGATCCAGTTTATTCTGTAACTTGATATTGATACCGTTGGATAAAGCTCGTGAAGCACTTTTAGGATCAGTAACCAGTTTTACGACATCTTGTGTAGTTTTTAAAATTATGTAACTTTACCAAATGTATGGAAGCTGAAAACACTGAATTTTCGGATAGTTCCAGTGTATTCTGAAACCTATTATTAGCACCGTTTGAAAGAGCTCGTGAAGCAATTTCAGGATCAGTAACCAGTTTTTCGATATCTTGTATAGTTTAGAAATAATCGGGTGAGATCACTTATCGTTTCCACCCTGTATAGTTCCAAAATACTGAACTGTCCTATCCATGACATTGACAGTGGGGCGCCACGTCAATACCGGATCACTGCTTCCGATTTTTGCCATGTTGGAAACCATATAGTTAAACGATGGTAGCGCCCCCCTGTCATTGAGTTTGGTGGGACAGTTCAGGGTGGGTCATCTATACACTTATTATGTCACTTGAACTGTCACAAAATATGAGACACGTAAAGAGCCCCTTATGCTACCTTTTTAAATTATTATTTTGATATTCATGACGTGTCTAGTCTTAGATTATTCTAAAAAAAAAAGACATTAGTGCTTTGTGCATTTTACCTGGTTTTTCTCGACTCCGAGTTGGAATGTTCTCTATCTTTCTCCGGCGACCGACGTTTGTCATCAGACTTTTCTATCTTGAATCTGAGAATACAAGGATAATTTGATAAATAATCTGGACAGGCTTAGAGCGCTTTCACATTTAGGCGATTTAGCAGCGCGACAAATGCATGCCTTCACATTATAAAAACGCCGCTACCGCGCTTCTAACGCCCTAATGTGAAAGCGCTCTTATTGTATACTAGCTGTGCCCGCGACTTTGTACGCGTGAAAACCCGTTTTCGCAACATTTTTCATTTTTGCTTTGCACCTATTACTCGTAGCGTGGTATATAGCCTATAGCCTTCCTCGGTAAATGAGCTATCTAACACTGAAAGAATTTCTCAAATCGGACTGGAAGTTCCTGAGATTAGCGCGTTCAAGTAAACAAACAACAAACTCTTCAGCTTTATAATATTAGTATAGATTAGCAATGCCCAACCCTTCTGAATAGCATAAGAAGTGTAGGCTAAATCCTTTATTTGCCTATGGCAAAAGAGACGCGCTTTTGCAGTAGACTGTGTCAATTCTGACACAGCGGTAACAGCGCAATAATTGCTGTCTGTTCCTAGACTAAATGACCTCATCATGATGGCGAGCGATGATAACAGCATGGCGGCTTGGTGACATGTTAAAAAATCATGCTTTTGGACCTTAACGCCCGTATTCACAAACATAACTATGAGGTCTCACAATGCGCGTGGACGCACAGGGTGACACACGAACCAATCACAGAGCTCTATTTAACACTGTCCGTTCGATTTGCTGCTTCACTTAGGCTGGGTTGCACCATCTTACTTTGACTTCAACAAAGGTCAAAAATCTGTCAAACTCGATACAAAATACACTGGTTATCGTCATAGTCACGGTTAAAGTTGGGTGGTGCAACTCAGCCTATAGCAAGCATCGTTCGTTTGTGAATACGGGCGTCAGACAAGCGAATAAGGTTAAAATAAATAAATAAATAAATCTTTGGACAATTTCACACAGCGCCAGCTAGCCCCAAAGTAAGCAACTTAATGCTTGTGTTATGGGTGCTAGCTTAACGGATATACTACTTATATAGTTTTTTTTTTAAATACATACATATTATACATAGTCACACCCAGACCCGTCACAGAAATTTAAATTCATCATTTCAATTTCTGCCCGGCAGAGGTCCCGGGCTCGATTCCCGCCCGGGACCTCTCGGCATAGTAGTCCGTTCTGAACCACTACACCAAACGGCCGGTTAAAAATCCGATGGGAAATATGTTCCCACTACGTTATCAAGGTACATTCCCACCTGTTCTTGAGGTTGTCGAGCAGCTTGCGGTCGGTGGCGTTAAGGCGCTCGGCCTGGATGGCTGACATCCACTGCGACAGAGTCTTCTCGTCCGGCTCGAACTTCTTCTTGCCTGCAACGATACATACGTCAGGTCAACGTCATTCATTCTTATGCTAATCTATAGTCTGGTCTGTGAGCACGTAGAATTATGTCCAATGACCCCAAGCTGCCCATTCTTATCGCTCGCGCGTAATTATGTTGCTTTCGCGCTCGCACACTCACTGCGGCCGCCCGTCGCACAGTCGCGACAGCAATATAGCTTGGGGTCATTAGACAAAATTCTACGTGCTCACAGACTGGGCTTTATCACCATTATTTTCGGTTTCGGTTACATTATCCTCCGGGACTCACTTGACCTTCCCTGGTTAGGTTTTTATTGCCGGTTAAGGTGTAGATTCTGGCTACACAGGAGTTGTAGCGGTGGGAATAGTCCCGTAGCATTTTCGTGCGTATGACAATAATTTTAGTCACGCTGGTTCGGACTCCGTCGTCGTCGTCGCCATCGTCCGCTGTAGGCCTAAGATGCGCGCCGTGATAACTCTTATCGACGTCAAAATGTATTTGCAAAATCGATGAAATGGCGTGATAGACGCTTATCGCGGCGCGCATCTTAGGCCTACTGGACTATTTTGGTGAACCCACTCGCAGCAGTTAGCTAGAGACATTTGGCTTATTTTTTTTGTTCTATTTAAAACTGTATCTCATGTTGATAGCCTAATAAAATAAATAAAATAAAAGTAACACAAACATGTTAGTTAAGCTTAAACCGAAGGGTTAACGATTCTTTGCAAAAATATAGAGCAATTTACCAGAAAGAGTGATTTACACAAGTTCAATACAAGAAACAAAAATAAACTTGCCGTTCCAAATTTCAGACTGCACAAGATTGGTAATTCATTTATGGGGAAATGTATTAAACTTTCCAATAAATTACCACAACTGTTGTAGAATTGCCCATTCATAAATTTAAAGCACATATCAAAAGCACCTTAATGAAAAAGGGCTACTATAAAGTTGATGATTATATAAAAGATAAAAATGTTTGGAATGTTTAACTACCTAGCTCGCATCAATACTTATGACTATAATATTTTGTATATTTTAAAGACTGTAAACCTTTGAAAAGGAGGCTGACAATAGTGACTGAGTTTCTTGCGCTGCTTCTTCTCAGCACTGGCCCATTTATTGTCCCGAAGCAGTGGTAGGGTTAATATTGGGACGTGTAGTGCTTTCTAAAAGCCTATTTGCAAAAATAAATGAATTTTATAATTTTATTTTAATTTAAAAAAACCTAGATGTAGGTTCTGTAATGTAACTAACTTTTCTTCTTCTTCTTCTTGGCGTCGTCATCGCTGTCGGAGCTGGAGGAGCGGCTGGAGTCGGAGCTGCTGCTGCTGTGCTTCTTCTTGCTCTTCTTCTTCTTCTCCTTCTTGCGCTTCTTCTCCGGCGGCGGCGGGCTGCGCGAACATCAATATTTATTTATTTAAGAGCGTTCACGCGAAGCGCGGCGTTTCAAGGTGCATCGTTGCAAATGATTCGCGCGCGGCGTTTTTTAATAGTTTTCAAATGTTTATAGCGAAACAATAACAATGAATTATATATCATTTCAAAGTAAATATTTTAAAGAAGATGATATTTTATTATTTTAAGCTATTTTTATGTTGAATTAAAGAACAATAATGGTGTAAAAATCACTTTGATTTTTGGGTATTTCGCGTTCTTTGAAATTGTGATTTCTTATTGTAAAATGCTTAAATCTAAGAATTTTCTCAATTAACTATTTGCCTAAGGACCTATGCTATAGGATATAAATGTTTGTTATATCGTTTTCACAGTATTTTTATAAATATTTCAGCTTGTAAACTGACGCTAAAGTGGAAATTTGAAAACCTGTGTGGACTTATCTTGATAGAATTCTTAAATACTATACTAATCGAAATATTTTCTCAACTAACTATTTAGACGAAATTGCCTAATTATTTATGCCTATAACGTATTTGTAATGTAACTGGTTAATGATTGTAACGGGTTGAAAAAGTACTATTTTTGGGCCAAACGGCGTAAACGCTCTTAAATCATTTTATGAAAGAGTAGCGACCCGCCCCGGCTTCGTGCGGGTGCTAAGTATACTATTAAAAAAACGCATTAAAATCTGTCTTAAAGATCTAAGCATACATAGGGACAGACAGCGGAAAGCGACTTAGTTTTATACTATGTATTGAAACGCGAACATTCACGCATTCAAAAAGCTAGAGACCGTCGTTTGCGTGTCCAAAAGTGGATTGCCATAGCGTTGGTGATTCTGCAAATCATCCTGTGTCAGCGAAAACTGACATTACAGTAGAGCCAAATATCTGTTTCTATTTTCTTCAAGTCTATAAGTACAACTTACACGTTCGTGTTACGTTAGGCTGCGTTTTCACCAGAGATGTGCGAGGATACCGAGGCGAGGCAAATGCAGCGATTCTATTGGTTCTTTAAAACATTCCTCGCTTCGCATCCTCGCACATCTCTAGAAAGATTTGCAAGTGTGTTCAGATAAATGCACGTGATCATTTTCATTAAAAAAAAAACGAGTTTTGTGACATGGCACGTATATTCAATAGTCGCTCTCACCTGTTGTCCTTGCGCTTGGTGTGGAAGCCGTCTTTGTGGAAGGTGATGGTATGCGCGGCGTACTGTGGCTTTTCCTCGGTCTTGCCCTTGTTGGCGCGAGACTTTTCAAACGCCTTCTGACGGTCCGACATCCAGTCTGTTTCCCAGTGGGGATTTTGTTCGACGAAATTCTGCGGGCAATAGGATAAGGATAAATTAATATTTAATAGTGAGAATGTATGTAACACTCAAATGTGTAAAGATTAGAAGTTATTTTAAGTGATAAGTCGACATGATAGAAACTCGTCTGGTCAATGTAAGGCGTGTAGGTCAAATCCTCCATTTAGCTTTGGTAAATTAAATTATGGTCTTGTTCCTGTAGTAGATATGAAACCTGATGACAATGTTGAAGATTATGATGGTATTTTTGAAACACTTGGGTTATTGCAGCAAATAAACAGCAAAAAACAATATAGAACTTTGCACCATAATTTTTAAAATTTTAAAAGAGTTAGCTATATCACCTCATACAAATTATTCATATTCACATGGAATAATTTAGTAACAGTCATCATGAAAATCACAACTTGTTTTTCATATTGCATTTGGGGCGTGAGATCCGATTGTGGGTGAGATACAAAGAATTACAGCTCGGGAGGATTTGCATTCAATCGAATTGAGTATTGGCTCTGTGCACGATTACAGCGCCAACTAGCGTCCACAACTTTGAGGGCTCTGTCACATTGACATTTAGGTCGTCTAATTGTGAAAAAATATCGAAATGAAAAAATAACAAATATTTTCGACTAATAAATTGTTGTGATACCACGATTTGGGTGGAAAAAAGGTTTTGAAATCATTTTGGTCATTNCTTCTTCGTCTTTTTTCTTCTGCTCCTCTTTCTTTTGTTCTTCTTGTTTGATGGTCTTGCCCAAATGCTTGTATACAGGCATTTTACCTGTGAACAACATTAACATTTTTATTGACTTACTTTGACTTATGCCCGTTTTCACCATCAATTCTTAATTGTTAAGTGACCCCTATGGTAATAAATAACATGAATTTTGTCAATATAGGGGTCACTTAAAAGTTAGGGACTGGTGAAAACGGGCATTAATGTCCTATGTTCCCTAGATGGGGCAGAGGGCGATCAAACAGTTCTTCATCGCGTTCGGTGACTAAATTAGAATTTGTAGTACGCAACAGATTGTTTTGTCGCTCTGGGAATTAAAAGAAATAATACCTAATGCTCAACAAACTTGCTGAAAAGCATGTAATTGTTAGACGAACACTGTCTAATAGAAGAAAATATACTATAAACTAGAAAAAAAAAACACATTATCTTCATAAAATATGAATTTTTGTTGCAAAATGGCACCTACTACAACGACTTAAGTTGCTAGTAGGGTTTCTGCTCGAGCTTTCTCGAACTCGAGAAAACTCGAGAAATTTGGCTTCATTCGAGACGAGAAAAAAATTACCGGAGCTCGAGAATTCTCGAGTTTCGATTTTGAAGCTTTAATATTCTTGAAAGCCTATTTTCTTAGACAAAAGTAAGTTTTTAATTATTTAATAGGTTAACGTTGCGTTTAGACTGGCCTAGTCTTTCCTTTTTTTAACTAATTTGATTTGCAAGTAATGATCTTAACCGAAACTAATAATGTTCACCTACGAGTATGCTATATTTTATTATGTTTGTATAACTGACTGATTTAAAGACTGAATTTTTTTTGTTAACTATCTGTTAGTTTAGGTACTCGTAAATACGTTTATTCAAGTCGTTATCTTTAAGTTTAAAAATGTATTTAAAAGTTTTTTTTTTGTTTGTAAATGCAGGTTTATTATCGTAATTTTTCAATTAATTTGGACTTGTGTTCTTTGGAAAACAAGTGATTCAATTGGAGCTCCAGATATTTATGGTTATTAATCCTTAAAGTACACGCGACTTTATGACTTTTGTTCCTTTAGTTAATTACTAAGTTATAATTATCCTACTAATATTATAAATGCGAAAGTTTGTGTGGATGTCTGGATGTTTGTTACTCTTTCACGCAAAAACTACTGAACGGATTTTGTTGAAACTTTACAGTATTATTGATTATAACCCAGACACATTATAACATTAATAAAAACCCGTGTTTTTATTAAATTTCAACCAATTTCAACAGTTTTAATTAAAAGACTCGAGACCCGAGAAAACTCGAGACTTTGGCCTCGAGAATTCCCGAAACTCGAGAAAAAAAATAAGTCGAGAAATCAGAAACCCTAGTTGCTAGTGTTTAGCTTGTACCGTCGTCTGTACATAAAGCAAGGTTTACAAAACTCTCACCAATAAACGGCATCTTCCTGATCTCCGGCTTCTTCACGTCAGTCTGCGAGGGGCTCCTCCGGCGCTGTTCGTCACGCGTTTCCTGCGAGCGGGATTTACGGGACTCGCGGGATTCGCGCGCGTCGCGGGAATCGCGCGCGTCGCGGGATTCGCGTGTGTCGCGGGAGTCGCGTGTGTCGCGGGATTCGCGCCGCTCGTGCGGGCTGCGCTCGCGTCGCTCGCTTTCACGCTCTCTCTCTCTGTAAGATGGAGTCGATCTTAACTTATATAGTTCCAAAATACTGAACTGTCCTATCCATGACATTGACAGTGGGGCGCCACCGTCAATACCGGATCGCTGGTTCCGATTTTTGCCATGTTGGAAACCATATAGTTGAACGATGGTAGCGCCCCCCTGTCATTGAGTTTGCTGGGACAGTTCAGGGTGGGTCATCTATACACTTATTATGTCACTTGAACTGTCACATAATATGAGACACGTAAAGAGCCCTTTAGGCTACCGTTTGAAAATATTTTTTTGACGTTCATGTGCCCAGTTCTTAGATTAATCTCAATAAAAAGACTTTAGTGCTTGGTGCTTTTTACCTGGTTTTTCTCGACTCCGAGTTGGAATGTTCTCTATCTTTCTCCGGCGACCGACGTTTGTCATCAGACTTTTCTATCTTAAATCTGAGAATGCAAGAAAATTAACTTCAATAAGTAAATGACCTAGACAGGCTTATTGTATATTAGCAAGGCCCAACCCTTCTGGCTAAAGCCTGGTCCGTGAGCACATAGAATTTTGTCCAATGACCCCAAGCTACCCATCCTTATCGCTCGCGCGTAATTATGTTGCTGTCGCGCTCGCACACTCACTGCGGGCGCGCGTCGCACAGTCGCGACAGCAATATAATTACGCGCGAGCGATAAGGATCATTGGACAAAATTCTACGTGCTCACGGACCAGGCTTTAGTATAGGAAGTGTAGCCGAAATCCTTTATTTGACTAGGCAAAAAAGACGCGCTTTTGCAGTAGACACTTAGAGCTGGTTCAGACTGAGGACACGCGCTATTGGTTATAGAATTGCCAATAACCGCGCGATACTTGCTATGTCTGTTCCTAGACTAAATGACATCATGATGATGGTGACGGATGACAATAACATGGCGATGGCGGCTTAACTAGAGCTTCAACCACACCAACGCGTGCAGATCACCATCGCCGGCGCGATCAAAGGCCAATTATAGGTCGCGCGATCTGTCGTTGGCCTATGATGCACACGTTGGTGTGGTCGAAGCATAACTGGGATAACATGTTAAAAAAGTCATGCTTTTGGACCTTATGACAAGCGAATAAGGTCAAAAAAATATGATGGGAATTATATTCCCACATCCTTGTAAAGAGTCAGCGGTATATCCCACCTGTTCTTGAGGTTGTCGAGCAGCTTGCGGTCGGTGGCGTTGAGGCGCTCGGCCTGGATGGCCGACATCCACTGCGACAGCGTCTTCTCATCCGGCTCGAACTTCTTCTTGCCTGCAACAAACAACAATCAATAAACGTCAAGTCAATGTATTTTATATTTTTATTAAATGGCAACCAAACCTCTTCCTGAGAGGTTTATTTCTGCCAATGTCGAGTTTTCATTGATTGCTTGTTGTATAGTAGAACCAAGTCAACGTAATTCATCAATCTTTCTATTATTACTAGCTGTAACTTTGTCTAAGCTGCTCACGTGACTTTGGCGAAATCGTAGTTCCCAAAACCAATTTGTGGCCAAAAATAAAACACACAGACGTATCTCTAGCTGTGCTAGCCAGCATCTCCGTATGTGTGGTGATCGTTTCTCAGTTAGTCGTCCAGTCAACCAAAGTTGACATTGACTGTCTCGTTCCTTATGCGGGTCAACATAACACCTACCATTCCTACTAAGCTACATTTCCTATGGAATAAAATAGCCGGAAGATGTAGTGTGGGCAGGCTTCCCACTAGGTGAACCGACGATCTGATGAAGGTCGCGGGAGGTGTCTGGATGCGGGCGGCGCAGGACTGGTCTTCGTGGAAAACCTTAGGGGAGGCCTTTGTCCAGCAGTGGACGTCTTTCGGCTGAAACGAACGAAGCTGTAGATTTTGGCTACACCGGAGTTGCAGCGGTGGGAGTAGCCCCGTAGCATTTTCGTGCGTGTGACAATAATTTTAATCACGCTGGTTCGGAATCCGTCGTCGTCGTCGCCGTCGTCCGCTGGACTATTGTGGTGAACCCACTCGCAGCAGTTAGCTAGAGACATTTGGCTTCTTTTTGTTCTATTTAAAACTGTATCTCTTGTTGATAGCTTAATAAAATAAAATAAAATAAAATAAAATAAAATAAAAGTAACACAAACATGTTAAGCTTAAACCGAAGGGTTAACGATTCTTTGCAAAAATATAGAGCAATTTACTAGAAAGAGTGATTTACACAAGTTCAATACAAGAAACAAAAATAAACTTGCCGTTCCAAATTTTAGACTGCACAAGATTGGTAATTCATTTATGGGGAAATGTATTAAACTTTCCAATAAATTACCACAAACTGTTGTAGAATTGCCCATTCATAAATTTAAAGCACATATCAAAAGCACCTTAATGAAAAAGGGCTACTATAAAGTTGATGATTATATAAAAGATAAAAATGTTTGGAATGTTTAACTACCTAGGTCGCATCAATACTTATGACTATAATATTTTGTATATTTTAAAGACTGTAAACCTTTGAAAAGGAGGCTGACAATAGTGACTGAGTTTCTTGCGCTGCTTCTTCTCAGCACTGGCCCATTTATTGTCCCGAAGCAGTGGTAGGGTTAATATTGGGACGTGTAAAAGTGCTCTTTAAAAGCCTATTTGCAAAAATAAATGAATTTTATAATTTTATTTTAATTTAAAAAAACCTAGATGTAGGTTCTGTAACTGACTTTTTTTCTTCTTCTTCTTGGCGTCGTCATCGCTGTCGGAGCTGGAGGAGCGGCTGGAGTCGGAGCTGCTGCTGCTGTGCTTCTTCTTGCTCTTCTTCTTCTTCTCCTTCTTGCGCTTCTTCTCCGGCGGCGGCGGGCTGCACAAACATCAACATTTATTAAATAGTAAATAAGTAAGTAAGTAAGCATTTATTTGCTGCACACAAAGTCACATACATAGTTTAACAAGATTACATAATTCAATATTTAACATGCACATTCAAAATAAAAAATAAAATAAATAACAATTAAAAATGAAATAATGTGAGCAGAGTTGCGGCAGCAAAAGGTCTCCGTCTCAGCATGTGTCACAAGCTAATGCCTGGCCGCTGATTTTCAGACGGCGGCCGACGAAAGTGGAGAGCGGCGGTAATCGCCGCAGCAATTCGCAAGGGCATTAAAACACAAATTAATGATAAAGAAAAATTAAATAAATAAAAAGTGAAAATTAGTTTAATGTCAAAATGATATATTAAATTATGTAAATTAGATGTCAGGAATAGGAATAGCAAGTCAGTATTATAAATATTGTCAAATTAGATTAAATCATTTTATGAAAGAGCAGCGACCTGCCCCGGCTTCGTGCGGGTGCTAAGTATACTATTAAAAAAACGCATTAAAATCCGTCTTAAAGATCTAAGCATACATAGGAACAGACAGCGGAAAACGACTTTGTTTTATACTATGTACTGAAACGCGAACATTCACGCATTCAAAAGCTAGAGATCGTCGTTTGTGTGTCCAAAAGTGGATTTCCATAGCGTTGGTGATTCTGCAAATCGTCCTGTGTCAGCAAAAACTGACATTACAGTAGAGCCAAAATACCTGTTTCTTTTTTCTTCATGTCTATAAGTAAAACTTACACGTTCGTGTTACGTTAGGCTGCGTTTTCACCAGAGATGTGCGAGGATACCGAGGCGAGGCAAATGCAGCGATTCTATTGGTTCTTTAAAACATTCCTCGCTACGCATCCTCGCACATCTCTAGTGGAAACGCATCCCTAGAAAGATTTGCAAGTGTGTTCAGATATATGCACGTGATAATTAAAAAAAAAAAGACGAGTTTTGTGACATGGCACGTATTATGAAATACAACATTCGCTCTCACCTGTTGTCCTTGCGCTTGGTGTGGAAGCCGTCTTTGTGGAAGGTGATGGTATGTGCGGCGTACTGTGGCTTTTCCTCGACCTTGCCCTTGTTGGCGCGAGACTTCTCGAACGCTTTCTGACGGTCCGACATCCAGTCTGTTTCCCAGTGGGGATTTTGTTCGACGAAGTTCTGTGGGCAATAGGATACGTCATTGGTATTTTAAAAATACTAATAAATGTAACAGTTGAAAGATTAGAAGTCATTTTAAGTGATCTTTCTTTCGACCAAGGACAGATGACATGATGGAAAACCATCTGGTCAGTGTAAGGAGTGCAAGTCAAATCCTCCATTTACCTTTGGTAAATTAAATCACGATCTTGTCCTGCCTGCAGTGGATTATGATAATCAACATCATCATCAACACTGGTTAATGTAGCAAATAAACAATAGAACTTTGTACGATATCTTCTATTAAATAAAAATGAATTGTTGTTCGTTAGTCTGATTAAAACTCGAGAACGGCTGGGCCGATTGAGCTGATTTTGGTTGTAAAATGTTTGTCGTAGTCCAGGGTAGGTCTGAACGGTGAGAAAATAAGGAAAAACTGCGATGGCTTATTTATTGCCTTTAAGGCGGAACAGAGTTCGCTGGGTCAGCTAGTTTTAAATAAAAGAGTTAGCCACATCCTCATACAGATTATTCATATTCACATGGAATAATTTAGTAACAGTCATAATGAAAATCACAACTTGTTTTTCATATTGCATTTGTAGTCCAGTAGAATTAGCTTTTAAATCGGAAATAATTCCTACAAAAGATTTTATTGCTTTAATGGCTTCATTGGTTGCCCTTTAAGACTCTCCTAGGTTTTCGACTTGGACGGAGTTGTGCTTAAGTGGTGGGGGCCCCCGAAAGGGGCGCTTTTTCGGTTTTTCGATTATATCGCGTAAAGGACTTACCCTATCGAAAAGTGGTCTTCCTGACGGTTGAAGGGCATTTAATCCTGCATTAAATAAGACCAAATTCATATTTTTTGGACAAACCGTTCTCGTGCAAATGTTCAGCAAAGTAGAAAATATGTGTATAATTAATGACCTTCTCCACGTCCAATAGCTCGTCACCCGTATGCTCCCAAGCCTTGTAAAGGGTCGCCTTAACCAGCGTATCCCTGTCTAGGCTCACGAGTTGGATTCGCTTATCCTTGTTCGTTCCAGCCGTTCCTTAACTGCGGTTGCTGCACCTCTTCCTGGCACTCTCCTGAACGACTCTGTGTTACCTACTGTGGCTGCCCCTCTTCCTTGTACCCTCCTGTACGATTGCATTGCTTAGCCATATGCTTGGTCTAAGGTTCGACGCCACAAAATCAACTTCGTACGCGTGAAAATAGTTTAAATACTATTTTCCGTGCTTGCAACATTTTTCTTTACTGCTTCGCCTCTATTAGTCGTAGAGTGATTGTATATATCCTATAGCCTTCTTCAATTTATGAGCTATTCAACACAAAAATAATTATTTCAATCAAACTAGTAATTCTTGAGATTAGCGCGTTCAAACAAACAAACAAAAAACTCTTCAGCGTTTTAATATGAACTTGTTGTTGTTGATTTTTGGCGTCGAACCTTAGACCAGGCATACGGCTAGGCAACGTAGTCGTGCAGGAGGATACAAAGAAGAGGAGCAGCCACAGTAGGTAACACAGAGTCGTTCAGGTGAGTGCCAGGAAGAGGTGCAGCAACCGCAGTTAAGGAACGGCTGGGACGAACAAGGATAGGCGCATCCAGCTCGTAAGCCTTGATAGGGTTACACTGGTTGAGGCGCTCCTTTTCAAGACTTGGAAGCCTGTGGGTAACGAGCCATTGGACGTGGAGAGGGTAATTAATTATACACATATTTTCTACTTTGCCGAACATTTGCACGAGAACGGTTTGTTCAAAACATATGAATTTGGTCTTATTTAATGCAGGATTAAATTCCCTTCAACCGTCAGGAAGACCACTTTTCGATAGGGTAAGTCCTTTACGCGGTATAACCGGAAAACCGAAAAAGCGCCCCTTTCCGGGGCCCCCACCACTTAAGCACAACTCCGTCGAAGTCGAAAACCTAGGAGAGTCTTAATGGGCAACCAATGAAGCCGTTAAAGCAAGTAAATCTTTTGTTTGAATTATTTCCGATTTAATCAATTTTTGTGTTTAATTCTACTGGCCTATTGGGGCGTGAGATCCGATTGTGGGTGAGATACAAAGAATTACAGCTCGGGAGCATTTGCATTCAATCAACTTGAGATTACAATGACAAGTTTAGGTATTTGACGACGGCCGAAAATGGAAGTAAGGGGAACGACTTGCATAGTTCATGGAACTCACTTAGGTGGTAATTTTGATTCGATTATGATTTTGCAAGTTTTGACTTAGAGCATTGCCCCTTTTACATGCGAATGACTTAGCAATATTTTGCGGGAACAAGTGGGTGGATTGTGTTAAAAATGATTCATATTTTTATTGATCACAGAAATAATTTAGTGAGTAGAATATTTAACATCTAATAGCAAATTTTTAGTCAGTCTGGTAAATGTTTAAAATGCAAGTAATGCAAAGATTTGTTTTTAATTCATCAGGTCATCAATCAATATGTAAAATGTGGTAGAATCTTCCGTGAAAAATGATGCTTTACGGTAATGGCAATGACTTCAATATTCATCCAAATCTCTATGTTGTGAATAGATTATGCATCATTCTATTATTATTCTCGCCACGCACGCTACGGATTAAAGTGCCTTTTATGTAACACCACTGTATCAACACAATTAACAATAAATGCTTATCTTATCTTAAAGCTTGTCATTCATCGTTTTATACTTATGGCCTACTGTCCACAGCGCCAGTGCCCCCTTGTGTCGCTACGTCGCTGCCGTCTACAATGTTTCATAGTTTTGTACCAAGCGTATAGGGACGAATAAAAAGCCTTTATAAAGCGACGCCTCCGTGGTCAAATGTTTCATAGTTTTGTACCAAGCATATAGTGAGGAAGGAATACGCCTCCGTGGTCAGTTAGTAGGTCTAAAGCTCGGGTTATTGGGTGAACAAACTCACGGTATAGTTCTTGGAGTGTTGCACGGACTTAAGATGCGCGGAGGCGCAGTGCAGGTCGCCGATGAACTGGTCGCACAGCTTGCAGTACCACGCCGTCGAAGGCACGAAGAATTGCAGACCTGCGTAAACACAGTACTTACTTCACACACACATAATACTACGAGGATTGCGATAGAATAGAAGATGATTGCAGTAATTAATTTTTAAACCAGATTTAACACTATGTGTGACTTTTCACAACTCCCCACACTAGGGTCTTTCGAGTGTCGTCGTCTTGCCAGCGCTTGTGCTAGCTTCGCGTCGTCCATTTTCAATTCGTCGAATGCGCGAGCGCTGGCAAGACGATGACGCTCGAAAGTGTCAAAGTCAGAGTCAAACGTAATCACAAACGATGCTTGCTAAAGTAAAGCAGCAAATAGCACAGCGTTGAATAATAAATAAATATCCTTGGCCCCTCACTATAGGCCTTATANACATTCTCAATAGGTAGTTGAAACAAACCACAGCAAATTTTCATAGGGGACTGTACTATACGATAAACATGTCAGTTAATTTGACAACCTTTGTTGGAAACATTATTCAATGAAAATATTGTCCGAACCCTTGGTATTTCTCTTCGACAAATACTTTAACACATTGTAAACCACTTTTCTTTCACGACTATAAAAAGATTTTAGCAATTTCATTCATAAAATCAATTGCGCACATTTAAAATAAAGTTTGTTTACACTTTGACAGCAATAGACTGACATGCAAGGTGACATGTCAATGAAGTTTTCAGTTACTGTTGCCATTAAAAGAAATTAGTACCATTGGTTTTCCGCAACATGGCGAGGGTTTTTATGTTCCTGGTCAGGCTATACAGTAATTAATTTTTGAACCAGATTTAACACTATATGTGACTTTTCGCAACTCCCCACACTAGGGTCTTTCGAGTGTCGTCGTCTTGCCAGCGCTTGTGCTAACATCGCGTCGTCCGTTTTCAATTCGTCGAATGCGCGAGCGCTGGCAAGACGATGACGCTCGAAAGTGTGAAAGTCAGAGTCAAACGTATTCACAAACGATGATTGCTTAAGTAAAGCAGCAAATAGCACAGCGTTGAATAATAAATAAATATCCTTGGACATTTTACACCAAGCAAAGCGTGTACTATGGGTACTAGACAACGGATAATAATAATAATAGAGCTTTGTGATTGGTTCGTGTGTCACCCTGTGAGACCTCATAGTAATGTTTGTGAGTCATAAGTTTTTTATTTTTTACTTAGGCCCCTTCCAGGGCGCTTATACACGTCCCAAATAGATTGCCCTGCGACCACTTCGGGACAACATAAGTATGTGTATACTTATGGGCCTGGTGCTGAGAAGTGGCGGAAAAAACTCATGCCCGTTTTCACCATCAGTAACTAATTTTTAAGTGACCCCTATGAAAACGAAATTCCTGTCATGTGTTACGTTGGGTTCACTTAAAAATTAGGGATTGATGTTGAAAACGGGCATCAGTCACCTTAAGAAAGACGTAGTGTTGTTTGTTTAGTGACATCAGCTCACCTCTGATAGGGGTTCGCTTGGTGGGCGCCGAGGGGATGCTGGGGAAGCCCTCGTTGACGCCCGACACCGAGTGCCACGGCGCCTCCATATGCGCCGCCGCCATCCTGGGGACGATTCCAAAATAATAAATAAATACCTTGGACATTTTACACTGCGCTTCTAGTCCCAAACTAAGCAAAGCTTGTACTATGGGTACTACACTCGCGAGCAAAAGTATGGAATCACTTACATGAAGTTGTTTCCACGCGATCTTGTGTACCAACGAATTTGTTAGTAACAAAAAAAGTGGCACCATTTTAAAGATTAAACTTTTATCTTTAAATTTATACCAAATTTATTTAAATCACACCAGTATTTAAAAAGATATCCCGGCTGATGTGAAGAAGTAACGAAAAAGACATGTATCAACTGTTTGATACGTCGCGAGTTGCGGCCTATTTACCCCCTATAAAAGCACGCGTTTTCAGATTTTTGCTTTCACACGTTGATTCATACACATCTCCGCTTCTTTTGACACTTTACCTGGGATTCTACACCTTCAGAAGCAGCACAAATCGTTGCACTATTGCAAGAAGAGCTCAGCCAGCGGACTGTCGCACGTCAGCGCCACATAAGCCAGTCCGGGGTTTCGAAAGTTTTAAGACGCTTTCGGGAGACTGGTGGCTTTATCTCGAGACCAAGTTCTGAACAGAGCCGATGCACATCGCAAAGGAAAGACCGTTTTTTCATGTCAACCACTCTATGAAATCGTCATTTGACTGGAATCGACGTCCAGCAAGAGCTCAGAAATGTTCGTAGGATAGCTGTTAGCGAGTGGATAGTTTGTCTAAGATATAAGCAATAGAATTTGACTCCAAAAAGGCCTGCCACAGGCTCGAAACTGACGGCAGGTCACCGATAAGCACGCTTTCAATTTGCTCGTACACATCTCGATGGGAAGTCGAGCAAGCCACCCCCATAAGCCACTGTTTCAACGAACCAGCACTGCACAAATCGCTGCCCAGACCGCCTATAAGCCCGACCTCTTCGACTGCTACACTGCAAACACAGTTTGCATTCATCGGAGAACAGAACTCGCATCCATTACTCGCCTTCCCATCGAGATGTGTACGAGCAAATTGATAGCGTGCTTATCGGTGAACTGCCGTCAGTTTCGAGCCTGTGGCAGGCCTTTTTGGAGTCAAATTCTATTGCTTATATCTTAGACAAACTATCCACTCGCTAACAGCTATCCTACGAACATTTCTGATCTCTTGCTGGACGTCGATTCCAGTCAAATGACGATTTCATAGAGTGGTTGACATGAAAAAACGGTCTTCCCTCTGCGATGTGCATCGGCTCTGTTCAGAACTTGGTCTCGAGATAAAGCCACCAGTCTCCCGAAAGCGTCTTAAAACTTTCGAAACCCAGGACTGGCTTATATGGCGCTGACGTGCGACAGTCCGCTGGCTGAGCTCTTTTTGCAATAGTGCAACGATTTGTGCTGCTTCTGAAGGTGTAGAATCCCAGGTAGAGTGTCAAAAGAAGCGGAGATGTGTATGAATCAACGTGTGAAAGCAAAAATCCGAAAACGCGTGCTTTTATAGGGGGTAAATAGGCCACAACTCGCGACGTATTAAACAGTTGATACATGCCTTTTTCGTTACTTCTTCACATCAGCCGGGATATCTTTTTAAATACTGGTGTGATTTAAATGAATTTGGTATCAATTTAAAGATAAAAGTTTAATCTTTAAAATGGTGCTACTTTTTTTGTTACTAACAAATTCGTTAGTACACAAGATCGCGTGGAAACAACTTCATGTAAGTGATTCCATATTTTTGCTCGCGAGTGTAGACAACGGATATAAACATACTTAAATACTTTTTTTTGTAAATACATACTTATCCTACTTCCTACTAATATTATAAATGCGAAAGTTTGGATGTCATGATGTCTGGATGTTTGGATGTCTGGATGTTTGTTACTCTTTCACGCAAAAACTACTGAACGGATTTTGTTGAAACTTTACAGTATTACTGTTTATAACCCAGATTAACATATAGGCTATAATTTATGACGATCTGTGACATACAAAATTTCACACGGGTGAAACCGCGGGCAAAAGCTATTATACATATAAAACACCCTGTCCAATACAAACAAATATGTTCACACGCACACAAATGTTTGTACTGTGCGGGAATCGAACCCGCTACCTCCGGTATAGTAGTCCGTTTCGAACCACTACACCAAATGACCGACAAAAATCAATACACTTTTAACACTCAAGTCTTCACTTTTAGACTGAGGCCCGCTTTCCATCAAGGCGGAGCAGAGCAGAGCGGAGTGTTTTGAATAACCAATCAAAGAAGAACGGTCATCTGTGACCCAGGCCCGACAGAAACGACATTCCTCAGTTTTTTTGTCATGGTCTTAATTAGTTAATATTTTTTATTTTCGAAATCTATGTATAACACCAAAATATTACCCCTGTTTTTGTTCAGGCGTTGTACAAAAACTAATACAAAATGCCTATTTATCACCAAAATTGGTAAATGTATGTAGGTACCTAAATGTCTATTACAGCTGCTATTACAAATAAAGTGATTTGATTTGATTTGATTTGGAATATATCTAGGTGACCTGGAGATACAGCCGGATTCCGTTCTTCTTTCATTATTTTCACATTTCTTTGCTCCGCGCCGCTACTGCCGCTGCATTTAACAGCAGAATGAATTGCCTAGCATTGTCTAAACTGGCAATGGGCAGGGCACATAGTACCTATGCAGAACAGACGACCTGGCAGTAAGGTTCTACAGTGGAGGCCATGTACCGCAAAACACAGTGCGACGTCCACCCACAAGGTGGATCGACGACCCGATAAAGGTAGCAGGAAGGAGCTGAATGCAGACCGCTACCAACCTCCGATATGGAAGTCATTGGGGGAGGCCTATGTTCAGCAGTGGATGTCCTGTGGCTGAAATGAAGATGAAGAGTGAAAACATTACGACTGAGTATTGTACTGACTTGTGATGCGCCTGCGAGTGCAAATGGTTGAGGTAGTCCTTGGCGGTGGGCGGGAACTCGTTGCACACGCGGCACCAGTGCATTTCCGGGTCGTAGTACACGTAGTTCACCTTCTTGTTGGCCGGCGACCTGGCCACATTACACCATTTTACTTTACGCAATTAACATTGGAATAATACAACTTATTTTAAAAAAAATGAGATTCAAAACCTGTAACGTTTCCATACGCGAAAAGTGGGCGTTACGTTTTATTCAAAACTAACGTCATAGTCCGTACGCGAAAAGTGCGCGTCATAAGTTTACTGATTGGACAGTGTCAGGCGCAATGATGGTAAAGACGGACCGCTCGGATCTCGCGAGAGACGTGTGATTTTAAACGTTTAATTACAAATCGGTAGGGCAATAATTAAAATCATTTTTTTAATAACTTGTTGCGTCCCAACAAGTGGGTAATTTAAAACATTTTTTTTTTGTATTAATGTTGTTTTTTTGCCTTAAAAAACCACGCGAATAAACTAAACCGTTGAATCGTTCCATATCCATATATTTAGTTAGTCACCAATTCACCATAATATTATGTACATTCGATACTAAGATGTTGAAAATGATGATGATGAATGAAATTATTTTTAGTAGTATAAAATCCGTGAGCAGTAAAATACAATCAGCAATCTGGTTAACAAAAGCAACACACTTTCGAGGGACAAAATGACAAAACTTAATGATGATCAAATACTTTAATAGGTTTACATAAGATACATTATAAATTGGCTGTTTTACAGATAGTACAACATAGCCATTATTGTAATATAACACATAATATTACAATCACTTATAGTCAGAATTATATAAATTTTAATATTAAAATTTACAACTAAATAACACTTTTTCATTACAAAAAGCAATAGAAATAAAGCTTACACATTTAAGACCTTATAAAAAGCATTATTAAAATCATATGCTTTAGAATAAATTTTCATGAGTATCGTATTCCAGTCCAGTTTTCAAGACGCAAATCAGTATGGAAGCGAAGCCTGTTAACTTCATAACATCACGTGCATACCTGTATAAATAAATTAACGAATCCAAAGTATTTCATACTCACCTAAATATTTCAATAATATAACCATAACATAAACGAAGATTAAGAATATGCAATACTAGAAATAAAAAATAAAAAGAAACGCACCTAGACTTGCGTTTGGGACGCTCGCGGTCCGAGTCAGCGGAGCCCTCGCGTAGTTCCTGCGCCTCCTCGCCGATAATGCCATTGAGCATGTCCACTACGTTGTTGATCGTCTTCAGCTTGTTCTGGATCTCCAACTATACAAACAGCAGGGCGTAATGCGGCGCACGTCCGTCGGCCAAACTCTCAGTTGTGTGCAAGCTCTAGATCGTAAGCAATAAATACACTACACAACTAAGAATTTGACATGAGCAGAAAAAATATACAGTTGGAGCTGTTAATTTTCTTGAACGAACAAAAATATATCATGTACTTCATAATATCAAACCTGCAACTTGGTGTTTTCTTTTAAGAACCTCTTGGTGTCCGGGCTCGGTGAGCGTTTCGCGTCACCTCGAAGTTCGTTTCGCTGATCTTTCAACGTGTCTAATTCCTTTTTCAATATTCCTGCTTTCTTGATGTAGTCTTCTCTTTGCTTCGATAGAGCGGCCTTCTGGTGACGCATCTCTGACTCTATAGCGGCTGTAGAATGGAAAGACAATGTGAAAGAATTGTCCCTAATATTTTGGGCTAATCAATTTCAATAGAAGCAAATTGGACTTACACTAGTGTTAACATTATGGAAATAGTGATGCTTCACTCATATTAGCAGCAAATACAAACTAGCTGTCAGGCAATTCCTTAACGCTAAGTTTTGCTGTGGAATGTGGTACTGAGATAGATCATGGCAGTCTTTAGAAACCGAAGTTCAGGTAACAGTTACATCAAGAAAAATACCAAGCCTTATGAAAAATAATGTTGCACCTGAAATGTTCTGCAATCACAAGCCGATAAGATAGTGTGCATAGAGTTATGAAGATATAAAATGCTGTATGCTATGCTAAACAGGAGATACCATAACAATCACAACCTAGAACATACCACTAACATCTTGACTGTGGACATACCTATTAGAGGGAGATGGTGAGAAAAATAATGAAATCATTTTCACATGAAAAAACATGCAATGCAATAACCTCCAAAAACTTAACCCATCTAAAAATTAGATTTTTAGTGGTTCACACTTCACATTGTCTAATATTTACAAATTCACACACATTTAACTAAATTATCATATAAATAAATAATACAGTACATACAATAAACAATACTAAATAAAAATATTCATATCAAATAACAAAAACTACATATTGATATGAATTAAACTTTTAACTGGCCTATTACACAAAAGTTATGTAAACGTTTACCTGAAAACAATAATAGAAACCATTGAAACTGTTTCTCAGATACTAATTGACGTACCTTCTTTCTTCATTTGGTCTTCAATGTTGTTGACAAACACAGGTGCGGGAGCAGGAGGCGGTGGGAGAGACATCTGGTTCCACGATGCTATCTCAGGTGGGATCTGAGACGGAGGTACTGGAGGAAAGTCTTCGTATATGCCAGAATATGATGGTTGGTACGTCTGGAAATTTTGAGGATTTGACGGCTGCAAAACAAAAAAATATGGTTTTAAAGTTTTAGTAATTTATCAAAATGCGTGTTTATAATGTCTGCTTTGCTTATGCTTAATTATTGACACCAGTGAGTCTGATTCGACACAATAGCAACACAAAGTGTTTGTTTGTTGCTCAGAAAAGCATGTACATTGAATGATTAAGCTGCCATATTTGATGTTACAAATTGAACTTCTTTAATTAGTTATTAATGTGTAAGAGTATTAGTAATGAAATGCGTACTTCAGGTCGGAAATTTGGTGGTGGTGGAGGACCGGTGGGGAAGTTTGGTTCTTGATTTTGACCATCCCATAGCTCACTTGGTTCTGGCAGTTTGGATATTTCACTCAAGATGTTGTCATCCAAAACATCCTTATCGTTCCTGCGAGGAGAGCGCGCGCGTGCATCAATGTCCCTCCGCATCGGGCTCCTGCTCCGGCTTCTCTTCCGCGATCGAGACCGCCGCGAGTACTCCGCTGGTCGCCAGTTACGTTCTCGATCCCGTTCTCTCGGTGGTAGTCCATAGGGCTTTCTAGGATCCCTCGACATTTTTAACACTTTTTGTCACAATTTGTGTGAAAAATTACCACAAAACAACAAGGCACGCTACATTTGACATAGGTACGTCTGCCATGTTGTTTAATTAGAAAAAAAAAAGGACATAGACTACTGAGTACAGATTAGAAAAATCACAGTTTAAAAATACTAGGTATTTTTTGTATCTCTTGTACAGCGCCATCTTTTTTTTTGTACACAATATTTTGTTGTACAAAACTTAGACACTTGCGTTTCGAAATAATTTTATAGATGTCGCTATGCTGTAGAAATTCAATTTACCCACTAAGGCCCGGTTTTTTGATTCGTAGTTAAAATAACCAACGGTCAAATTTGACAGATGTCAAATGACAAGTGGTTAAATATAGAAAAAAATGTTTTTCGAACAAAGGTTAGCTTGACTTTTAGTACATTTTTGAACTATTTGTTTACATTTTGTTAATATTTAACCATTAGTAGCAAAATTTAACAATTAGTTAATTTAACAATTAGTTATTTTAACTATGAATCAAAAAACTGGGCCTAAGTTCAACTCATCTCACTTTTTAGGGTTCCGTAGTCCTGCCTGACAAGGAACCCTTATAGTTTCGTAATGTCCATCTGTCTGTCTGTCCGTCCGAGGTTTTGCATGGAAACTGTTAGCACTAGAGAGTAATTTTGTGGAGGTAGGTATGTACTTTGATCAAATTTTAGTGTAGCTCCCCTACATGTAAAGTGGGGATGATTTTTTTTTCTCATCTTCTACCCCATCGTGGGGGCTATCGTTGGATAGGTCTCTTAACTGTTAGCTTGAAAAATCTGGAAAAATTTCATAATAATAGTGCTTTTGTAGATGACGACTATTACTCTTAAACTCGGTTTAACTCATGTATTATAAAATTTCATACCTAATAAAAATACCTTTAAGAAATATTAAAATGCTTCTGAAATATAGGTATTGTGAGTACGACTACTACGGAACCCTACACTGCGCGTGGCACGACACGCACTTTTTTTAGGGTTCCGTAGCCAAATGGCAAAAAACGGAACCCTTATAGATTAGTCATGTCTGTCTGTCCGTCCGTCCGTCCGTCCGTCCGTCTGTCCGTCCGTATGTCACAGCCATTTTTTCCGAAACTATAAGAGCTATACTGTTGAAACTTGGTAAGTAGATGTATTCTGTGAACCGCATTAAGATTTTGATGCAAAAATAATAATAAATATTGGGGGCTCCCAATACTTAAAACTGAAACTCAAAATTTTTTTTTTCGTCAATACGTGTGGGGTATCTATGGATAGGTCTTCAAAAATGATATCGAGGTTTCCATAATACTTTTTTTCTAAACCGAATAGTTTGCGAACAATCAATGTGGAACCGCCATCACACGACGTAGTGGCCAAAGCTATCCTATCCCTCAAGATTGGCAAGGCCCCAGGACTCGACCTTATCATCGCAGNCACAAATTTCGCAAATCAGTCCGAGTAGAGTCAATGCACTAATTTAAGGAATTTGTGAAGTTGTTGTTATTGTTTAAACAAGATTAGTATACCGTTTTAATGAGGATAGACTAGAGAAGTTTTGGTAAAATCCTAAGATCGCTATCTCTTTTAAAAAAAAAATTATACCCATGTAAACCTTAATGTTCAGTCCATTTTTAACTTTTCGGAAAATTTCAAAGCTGAATTTAAAAAAAACTAGATGATATTTGCCAGTAAATTTAAATTTGATGCAACCCTACATTAATGCACGTCAAAACAAAATATTTACTTTAGGGCTGCGCCTAGTAGTTTATTTTTAAATCGAAATTAAATGATGCGATTTGGGTATTTTGGTGAAATTACTAAAAAAATTAATTTAAAAGTAGCCGCCTGGCATGGAACGTGTTATGGGGGCTGAAAATATAGGAAATGACCCATTCTATCCGCCAAATCATTTTGGCACACGATGCGCCAAACACCCTGTATTATGTTCATCTCATCTCACTTTTTAGGGTTCCGTTGTCCTGCCTGACAACTCTGACAAGGAACCCTTATAGTTTCGTAATGTCCATCTGTCTGTCTGTCCGTCCGAAGTTTTGCTTGGAAACTGTTGCAGTAATTTTGTGGAGGTATGTATTTTGATCAAATTTTTAGTGTAGCTCCCCTACATGTAAAGTGGGGATGATTTTTTTCATCTTCTACCCCATCGTGGGGGCTATCGTTGGATAGGTCTTTTAACTGTTGGCTTGAAAAATCTGGAAAAATTCATAATTAATAATAGTGCTTTTGTAGATGATCAGTTAGTATAAGAGTAATAGTCGTTTAACTCATTATACCTATTATAAAATTTCATACCTAATAAAAATACCTTCAAGAAAATATGAAAAGTAACTTTAGATGAAGTAATTAATGCTTTTGAAATATATTGTGAAAACGACAACTATGGAACCCTACACTGCGCGTGACACGCACGACACGCACTTGACAATTTTTTTATTGTTATCGGAGTTCATCATAATTTATTTTATTTTATTACTGCTTAGTTTTCAGTTTTTATAACACCGAAATGAAGGAAATTATTGATAATATAATTATAATTTTATTATGGCTAGTTGACTAATGCAGAATGTCCCTGTTTTTGACACTTGATTTTTTAACTTTAAGTTAAAAAAATAATCCTACTGAAAGTCTGATTATAAATTAAAAAAAAACCTACTTGTACAGCACTAGTTTTTCCTGTCATGGAGAGTCACATAATATTACGGCTACGAATATTATCTGAAGCGTAGACTAGTAGATGACTACGAGCTAAATTTCGTAGCGCAAAGAATCGTAGACCGTAGCACCAGCCAGACGCCGGCTTTTTAGAAGTTGTATGTGTCCTATGCCAATTATTTGTCATTTTACTTTAAGTTTTGTATTAGAAAAGTTGTAAATCATTGTTCATGCTCGTAATATTTCAAGTTTACCATTATGATGACTGTTATAAAAATTCAAATTGTAATCGTTATAACTTATTATAACACACTAGCTTTCCGCCCGCGGCTTCGCCCGCGTGGAATTTTGTCTGTCACAGAAAAACTTTATCGCGCGCGTCCCTGTTTCAAAAACCGGGATAAAAACTATCCTATGTTCTTTCCCGGGACTCAAACTATCTCTATGCCAAATTTCATCAAAATCGGTTGCGAGGTTTAAGCGGGAAAGCGTAACAGACAGACAGACAGACAGACAGACAGACAGACAGACAGAGTTACTTTCGCATTTATAATATTATATTTTAATATTTTATAATATTATATAAATATATAAATATATAATATATAATCCCAACTAATATTATAAATGCGAAANACTTGGCCGGTTTTTTTATTGTTATTCCGATATGAACTCCGGTTCATCATAATTTATTTTATTTTACTGCTTAGTTTTCAGTTTTTATAAAACCGAAATACAGGAAATTATTGATATCATTATAATTTTCATTTGTTAATTATTATGGATAGTTGACTAATGCAGAACTAATGTCTATGGCCCGGTTTTTTACTTTTGATTTTTAACTTTAAGTTAAAAAAATATTACAGAAAGTCTGAATAAAGAATAATAAAAGTTACCTACGTAATAAGTATGTACAATAGTTTTTCCGGTTAGGGAGAGTCTCACATTATTACGGCTACGAATTTTATCTGATGCGTAGACTAGATGACTACGAGCTACATTTCGTAGCGCAAAGGATCGTAGACCGTAGCACCACCAGCCAGACGTCAGTTTTTTAGAAGTTGATTGTGATGATGACTGTTTTAAAAATTCAATTGTAATTGTTTATTATTATAACACATAATACGTTTCCAGTGGAACTAGCTTATGAAGATTCCGAAGATAGCATAAAAAGTTTATTGGTCGAGGAATAATAGTACAATACCCACGACAGTTTACCTTAATAAACTTCACTAAAAATTGTGCACGATTGTTTTGTTGCAGCTTTATTATTTTTTGTATTAAATTTCAACTTTCTACTAATCGTTGCTCAAACCCTTTCATTCTGAAACAAAGTTTCGCCGATTGTGAAACAATATTTTTGAAATTTGCTCGTGATTATGAACGGCTATTATCCCTTGATCAACAGCCTACTGAATTAGCAAATTGTTTGCAACGTCTAGTTTCACTACGTACTGAAGTGGAGCGGTTTGGGCAATGCATCTTGTCACCTTTGCCTTACCTTCACCTTGCCGAGTCGGAAGCTGATTGCTGATTTAGTCTGTGGGACCGCTCCGTTGCCGCATCGCCCTGCATGGCAGGCAATGGCGGGGCAGCAAAACAGCCGCGCCGGGTGAAGCTCAGGCATAACCGCGCGGCCGCACCGAGCGCATGCGCGAGATCGCGGGTTACGCGGGAAAACACGCCATTGGTACACGAGTGACATAAAAAAATAAAAATAATCAAAACTTTTTTCTATTTTCGAAAATTTGTGTGCCAGTGTTTTTGTTTAGGACGTTAGCGTGAGCGGTTCACAATGAAGTATAAGGTGAGTTCTTTTTCAGCTACCCGCAAGATGTTTTTTTTCCAAATTATCAGAGGAAAGAGTTACCTAATTTAAAATTTAAAATAAACATAATCATTAAATAATTAAACATATTACTTATTATGATTCGTATTTACAATTTAGCTAAGTTACGAAATCCTTACATAAAAACTTTTTAATATTAGACTAAACCGCACTTAATATTATGTTCGTAAAGTGTGAAATTAGATGATAATAAAAAAATAAGTACCTACATAAATTATCTTATCCACATCTATCGGATATCGCGTAGAAATACTTTATGACTTCATTACATATTTTTTTTAACGTTATAACATTAACGTTTATCTTAATTATTTTGTTAATTAATAGATGCATCATATTATGAGAATTATTAGTTAGTATTGATTATCGTAATCGATCATTTCTTAAATTTTGAGATTTATCAAAACTATTTGCATACAATGATGGGCATGACATGTAGGAGTCAGTCACCTTGGGATGTGAAGTTTTAAATTACATGTAATTTGAAATATAATTTTAGGTAATTATTAAAACTAACAACTAGAAGTCTACACGTTGACAAAAGGTTTCTATGG